TCCGATATCCTGGATCTTCAGCGTTTTCTGCAGGAACATAGGACAGCAGTTTCAGTAGCTGCCTGTCACACCCAGAGACCCTCAAAGACAAGCCTGGCAGTCCTCACACTCAGGGAGCACACTTTCGACGATGCACCACACTCGCCAAAGGCACCAGGAGCAAGACACGGGCCCACATTTCGCTGCCCAGGTTCAGGCCTGTGATACCTTCAGGAGCTCGTTGAGGTCTGAGATCTCTAGGAGCGTGAGGCTGGCAATGTCCTGGACCAGCTGCTGGATCTTAGGGGGGTACTCCTTCGGGGCGTTATCCAGTGGTGCACCAGCGAGGGCCTCCCCCCTTCGATGGCTGCTGCACCTCATCAGCCTCACCGCGCAGACACAGGGCACCTGTTGCCTTGCCCCACTATTCAGACAAACGGTCACCCTGGCACGAGGGGGACATAGATCGAGCAGTTAAGTAGGTGCCATGAGTTCAGATTTGGTTCTATGGTCCCAACCCAGGGTTCTGACTCGGGGGTCCACATGGATGACAAGGGGATCTCTCAGCTACTCATGTTCTTCAAAGATCCTTAGAATCCACACAATTGTGTGCAGACATGCTACCCACGTTGTTTCCGGTTTGAATGAACTGTACCAGCCCACGTGAATAAGGCGGTAACTTGAAGGCATTCTGCTGCATAAAGCCTTTCAGAACCTGGGGCCCTTGGCGGCGAACGCCGGATCCACTTTAAGGAGCCCTACCACCTCACTGGGGGGCAGAGGAAACTGAGGCTCGGAGAGGGGCGGGGACCCGTCCAAGGTCATCCCAGGCCACACCCGCAGTCTCCGCGGCCCGCGGGGTTAGGGGTCAGCACGCGGACGCCCTCACGCCCCCCAGATTCGCCGGGACTCGCCGAGGCGAGGGGGCGCCTCAAGCCCGTCACCTGCGGACGCCTAGTGCCCGGCCGGCGGTCCCCCCGTGCGCCCTTGCCCCACTCTCGGAGGCCCGAAGTACCTGGCGAGACGGAGCGCGGCGCCCCGAAGGCCGAGACACGGCCCCCATAGGGGGCGAGCGGCCGCCGGCAGCATCGGTCCGCGGGCGGGAAGGTCACACGCGGCTCCCCGGGCGGAGGGACGCTCTAGCCGCCGAGCAGCGGAGCATACGAGCTAGAGGCGGGCGCTCTAGCCGCCAGGATTACCGAGCATACGAGTTACGGGCGGACACTCTAGCCGCCTGGGCCGAACATACAAGTTGGGAAGACGCTCTAGCCGCGCCTTGCACTTGCCTCCTCTTGCTCCCCACGATTACCCAAAAAGGGAGAGCTGCGCAGGCGCAGAGGCTCGATGCCGGTGACCAGGAGTCAGGCTGTGGCCCGCACTGTCCTCGCCCTGCGGGGCGGAGGAAGACCAAAGGAAGCTGAGGCTTGGCGCCAGGCTCCGTCCGAGTGCGGTAGGCTGGCCTGGCCCCCGGCCAGGGACAACCTCCGGGACCCTTGACCATACTGGACAGCGCAGTGACCACTGTCGCCCGCGCAAGCGTCAGTCGGTGGTTTTTGGCTGGTGACGTCTGCCCTGCCGCAGGGCGGGCACGAGGGTCCGGATGCCCTTCCTCAGCTGGCCACGCCCGCCCGCAGCCTGTGGCACGTAGCACGGGGTGACCCCGCTGCTCTCTCCGGTTCCCTCCCCCTACGACTGCCTTCCCGTCAGCACAGGAGCGAGGCCCGGTCAGGGCTCGGGATTCTCTGCTTACAGCGTTTGCTACGGGTGGTGACAGAGCCCTGGTAGGGTCCGAATGATGGGGTCCTGGGCGGAGAGGCCGGTCTTCATCTAGAACAGCCTCTCTAAGCCCTGGCTGGCTCCAACTGCCGAAGTCCTCTGCACTCCCGTCCGCTTCCCTTCGGGCTCGCGGTGTCTTCGGCCCAGGTCTCTGCAGCTCGGTCCCCAGGCCCTCTGCCAGCGTCTGTAGTGAGGGTCCGGAGGCCTTGCGGTTTGTATGTAGCGTGCAGTCTCCTCTCCCAGTTGTCCCAGGTACCACAGATGGTTTTCCTAGTCAGGGCTGGGGCAGTCCCGACTTCAGGCCAAACTGAGAAAGCAGGGTTGCCCTCTGCCAAGCATGCCCCTGTTATCCTGGCTCTGCCTTTAACTGGAGTTCAGGTAACCTCTGTGCCTGATAAACTAGTTCATTCCTTCGTAGAAGAGCTAATGAAATGCTGACGCCACCTAAGGTTTGGGTGTTTTAAGGTGTATGAAATGTTCTGAACTCTGGGTGCCAGAGGCTGGAGGTCTGTATTAAACATTTCCCTCTAGACTACCAACTCTTAGGTTGTAGTCTGCAGTCAGACTAGAGTAGTGGGCCCCACGGGTCTCTCCCAGGAGTCAGGGCAGAGATGCTTGGCTCCCCATGAACACAGCTCCACGGACACTGCTGTGGAGCTGCACCTGGGGTGGGCAGGCTGGCCCCAGCTGCCACCTTCCTTCTGAGCAGACACTCTGACACTTGCTGAAAGACATTTTATTATCAGTGTTCCATTCCATCTACTCAGGGGACTGGATGAATGAAGTTCAGAAGCAGAGACGCTGGAGACAAAGCCCCCCTTTCTGTGAAGGCCAGGAGTGCTGCTGCTGACAGCCTGGGGCCGCATGGGGGGGCTCTGGGGAGCGCACACGCCAGTCACAGACCACAGGCCCTGAGGACGCACAGGTGGGGATGGACGCTGCGGGCTGTGAGGGCAGAGGAGCTCCCACTCCAGCTAGCCCTAGAATGGCCAACGTGGGGCTGGGGGCTTCCTCTCACAGAAGGTCTTTCCCTCTTACCCTCCTCCCCGAGACACAGCCCCGGAGAAGGAAGTCAGAGACCAACTCACAGAGACAGGGACAGTGCACATTGGGGCCTTGGGGACATGGAGGCAGCAGGCAAGGACAGAAAGGACGGGAGCTGGGGTGAAGAACCACCCCATTCACATGGAGCAGGGACACCACATGGTGAGGAGAGGACAAAGGGGGGCAGAAGGATGGCACTAGTTAGAGACGGAGGTGGTGGTTCGGAGAAACCTAGTGTTACTCTGGCCGGTGAGCTCCAGGCCTGGGTCAGTCGAAGGAGATGAGCTGGGCTTCACTGCCCTGTGCTGGTGGCCCCTGTGCCGGTGGCTGTTGGGCCACGGGGGGCTGCTGCTGGGGAGGGCCACTGGAGGGCGCCATCTGTCGGGGGGAGGGACACATGGCCATGGGTCTTTCTAGGCCCCAGCCTCCCACCCTCTAAGGGCTTCTCTAGCACACTCCAGCCTGGCCTTGCCGCCTTGTGTAGCCCATCAAGCCTAGCCTGGGCTGTGCCCGGGCCTCGTGAAGCCCTCCTCCCAGCTTGGCATGCTCTCCACCCTCTTCCTGTCCCGGGGTAGGGCTGACCCCAGGAGTTCCCCACCACCTATGGAGTTGAGCTTGTAAGTAAATGTGTGGCTGTGCGGCCATGGGTGTGTATGCCTGAGTTCTTCTGGCCCGCACAGTCCACTCCTCCCGGCAGCAGCCCTGGGAGAGCTCACCTGCTGATACAGGGGCTGCTGCCCCGAGAGGTAGGGCTGCTGCGGGGGCGGCAGAGGCGCATCTTGGCTGGGGAGGGTGGTCATGAGATTCTGCAAAAATGTAACAAACCCCCAATGCTGAGAAAGGAGACAGGTAGCAAGATAAATGAAAATGTTCCTGTCTTGGAAAAATCAAATGCCAACCAGCTAGGGGGACCCTTGGAGGGGCAGGGGTGTTAAGCAGCCTGCCCAGGGCTCCCCGGCCTCCCAGCACAGGACCCCAGGCCTCCCCAGTCTGGACGACCCTCCCCATCTCCATCCCTCACCTGCATGCCGTAGGGCTGGTAGCCCATGGACACCGACTGACTCCCCACGTAAGCCATGGTGCTGGACTGTGGAGGCTGGGAGATGGCTGGCAGGCTCTGTGGGGCCTGGGAGGCCACATTCTGCAAGGAAAGAGGTGTGACAGGAGCTGGGCCCTGCACCCGAGAGCAAGGGCCTGGTGGGGGCAGGGAGGGGCCTTGCCCACCTACCTGGTAGCCCTGGGTAGCAGCAGGCTGGTAGGATGAGTAGGCTGGGCTGGTGGTGGGCCCTGCTGGGCCCTGGGGGGCTGCCTGAGCGCCCGCGGCCCCTGCTGGGTACATGTAGGCACTCACCATGCTGGGATCTGTGGGGGAAGAGAGAGCTCTCAACCCTACCGTGGGGAGGGTGTTGTGGGTCACTTCTGAGTTTCCCTTTTTCTTTTGCCTTTAGAGACCAATTCATGTTTCACATTCTCACAAAAGGAAAAGAAATGAAATCAGCAAGGATGAGAGGGACACGGAACCCAATCAGGCGGAGGAGGTAAACCAGGTAAGGCTTAGTGGTGCAGAAGGGGTGGGGGACCTGCTGTGCGCCTTCTGGGCCCACTTGGTCCCTGAGCCCTCAGTCTAAGGACACCAGACCACGGACATAGTAACCTTGGTCAGGAGGCACTGTCCCCCGGGGCCTGGGCTGGCGTTCCTGAAACCACTTTCTGTTCTAGCAACAGGTAGACCAGCAAACAGAGACCAGAGGCGGGAGCCACAAACATGGAGCTGGAGTAAAGTCAGTTTAACATGTGCAGACAGATGGGTGCCCATCTGCTCAGACGCACACACACACACGTGCCCTTGCTGTCTGCTGAGGTGCGGTGACACCCAGCACCTAATCTTGTTTCTAACGCCATCCTCCACTGGAGGAACAGGGCTCCCTGGAGAGATGGCCGACTGCAGGGCTGGGAAGCCATGACCACAGGTTACATCTTGTACCAAAAAAGAGCATCCGCAATGGGCTGGGGCGCGCCAGGACACAGGAGGTGGCCTGTGGGGCTCCCCTGGGCCACACCGGAGCGATCTGAGCACCAAAACAAACAGTGGGCGTGAAGGCCTGTAATCTTCTCAGTAAAATGAGTCCACACTGATCTGAATGAGCCATGAATAAGGAGAAAGGACGGTGTTCTCTCCAGCAGAGAGATACCTAACAAGCAGGGCAGAGACAGGACACAAAGCCACCCTGTGGCCAGTGTCACAGTGGGCTCAAACCAAAATAAGCAAAAAATACTAATACTAGTGGATACAAACTTAAAAAGAAGAGTATTTGTAAATCGTATTCTACCCAGAACACTTAATTACCAAAAGTCACTTTACAATAGAGAGACCTGGCAGGTACCCCCCAAACCACACGCCCAGTAATGGGTAAGGGCTCGCGGCTCACAGAACATCACACGGCTCCGTGGCCGCCAGCCAGCAGGGGCCCGGGGGGTCCTGCTGGAGGGCCTGCTGAAGCCACACAGGGTGCTCTGTGAGGCCGCGGCCAGTGCTCTCTAAGTAGCCGCATGAAGCGAACGCGGACAGAGGCCGGCTCCGGATTAGGGGAGACGAAAGAGACAGGACACCTGAATACCGCATACACGAGGGGTTTCTGGCTGGCACAACAGGCAGCCTGGGCAACTGTGGGAGCTGGGCCCAGCTGAGGGTGAGGCCGCAGCACAGCCCGGTGGCTCCTGTCTGCCTGCCTAGCCCACCAGGTCGTTCTGGTTCTGGGAGATTCACCTGAATCCCAGGTGCAAGGGCAACACCCGCCTACCTACCCCCTGAAGTGGGTCAGGAAGGTGTGCACACATGTGCTCACCTGGATATGTGTGGAGAATGCAAATGTGGCAAGATATTAATGTCTGGGGATCTCTTTGTACCATTCTTTTAACTTTTCTGTAGACCTAAAATTACGCAATAAAGATAAGGAAAAGGCGGTGGTCTGGGGCTCATCTTGGCTGGTTGGCACCTCTGCCTGCCTCTGTTACCTGCTCCAGCCCCGGGCATGCTGGGGTAGGGCCCGCTGGTGGCCGGTGCTGGTGGGCTCATGTACACGGTGTGCATGGGGGAGCCCTCCACTGAGCCTGCTGGGCTAAAGGTGCCAGGGAAGCTTGCGGGGCCAGAGGGCTGGTAGAGCACGCCTCCGGCTGCGGGCATGGCCTGAAGCTGGGGACAGAAAGAGACGGCTGTCAGCGAGGTTCTCTACCACTGAGTCCCTTGTGGGGGTGGGACAAGCGGCGGGTGCATGCCTGGGCATAGGGCAGGGGGAAGGCCGGCATCTGGGCCCTCATCTGGATGGTCTGCTTCTGCTGCTCCAGGCGCATCTGCCGTTCTTTCTCTTGTTCCTGCAGGCGCTGGATGGCCAGCTGCCTCTGCACCTCCAGATACTCCTGTGGGCCACAAGGCGGTCAGGGCCAGCCATGCCCCCCGGGTCCCCACGGTGGGGGCAGCCGCCACACCTGCTTCTTCTGACGCATGACCTCCAGCTTCTGGGCCAGCTGGATCTGGCGCTGGCGCTCAGCCTCCTCGGCCGCCCTGCGCAGCTTCTCCCGGTGCTCCTCCCGCAGGGCGCTGAGTGCCCCCCGGGCATCGCGGATCTGCGCCAGCTTGTCCTGCAGCCCCTCATAGTACACTGTGGGGAGAGGGCAGACCAGAGCCTTGGCTTTGAGGGGAGCATGGGCTGCCCACCAGCAGGCTCCTGCCTGCACTGAGCAGGCCTGGCTCTGCCTGGCTGACTTCAGGAAGCTCAAGGCCCAACAGACTGCCTGTCAACAGGGTTCCCATTGCGGGGCAGGGGGCAAGTCTTCCTTGAGCTGATCGTCCTGGCTCGGTGGGATGCTTCTCATCACGGGGACCGCCTCCCCTGGGGCCCACCCCCAGGAGGCCCGCCCACACCCATGGCACCTACACCTGCGCTCATCCAGCTGGTTGAGCAGCTCGAGCAGATGGGGGTGCATGCCATTGATGGACTGGAAGAGGGAGAGCACGGCCGAGTCGTTGGTGATGCTGCGGCCTCGCACGTGGTTGCTCTTCATGCGGTTGACAAAGGTGGTGACAGCGTTCTGCAGAGCCTTCAGAAACTGTGCGTGGTTCTCCTCCGACTCCCCATTCTGGTACTGCTGCTGGGGCACAACGGGGTCCAGCTGGGCATCACTGAGCACCCCCTGAGCAGGACCACTCTGTCCAGGGGCCTTGGCAGTACCCCCTGCACAAACCCGCCATGCCAGGCCCTGAGCACTGAGCTGCTGTGCATCTCTGGCTTGATACTCTCAGTGGCCCTGCAGAGGGGCATGCTGAGCAACCCATTTTATAAACGAGGGAACTGAAGCCCAGGGAGGCTCTGCTCCCACCCACAAGCATGGTGCTGGCCAGGATGGAGCTGGCTAGAGCTTGGCTGGCCTGGCTCTTTTCCCCTCTGCCCCTCCCTGTAGGTCTCCCACCGGTGGTGACAGGGGACCTGCCTCCCTGCAAAGGCTCTGGTTTCCTACTCCAATGGCCAACAGCGTCTAGAAGCCCCAGAATAGGGCAAGGACTTATCTGGGTGGTTCCAGACTACCCTAGAATATTCTGGTCTGTTCAGGACAGGCAGCAAGAGGCTAAGCTCTGGGTGACAGCCAGCCTCCGAGGTCTTCTATGGGCACAGGCTGGCCCTTGTGTCAGCACAGGTGCCTCGGTGGGGCCTGGCACTCTGCATGCCAGGACCTTTGTTCTCCACCCAGCCTGGTGAAGGGAGCCCAGCTTACCTCACCAAAGGGGCCACCAGAGGGGGTCAGGAGCTGAGACTCTGTCTCTGGGGGGGGATTCTGGAAGAGACCAGCAAAAGCGGGGGGCTCCCGGCCTGTCCCGGTGCCTCTAGGAAGGGGCCGCGGGCTAGGAGGGCCAGGAGCAGCCCCTCACCTCCACTGTGTTCGAGGGGGCTGCGTGCCCCTCCCCGGGCAGGGCGGCGGGCTCCGCGAGGGGCGCCGGTGCAGACGGGGTGGGGCTCTTCCGTGCTTCCTCCTGCTTTTTCTCCCAGTAGTTCCGGTTGAGGTACCGGGCAAGCTGCACAGACAACAGGGGGTCACTCCCGAGAGCCGGGGAGCAGCGAGGGGAAGGCCCCATGCCCAGGAACACCCTCACCTCAGGTTCGATGTCCTCAGCCAGAGGTGCCGACGAGTTCTGGGGAGACACAGCGTCTTAGGGCCACGGTCCCATGGTCCAGCTCCTCCCGGACCACCACTGGGAGGGCCCAGGTGGCGCTGCTACGACGACACCGACGGCCAGAGCCAGTCCGAGGGGCCCCGAGAGGCTCCCTAACCATGAGAAAGCAGAGGCGTCCTGCCAGCCCTCCCGTCACCACACAGATGGCCCCAGTAGGTAGGCAGCAGGCTGTCTGTAGCAGAGCCCTGCACAGCTTCCAAGTGACGTTCTGCATCTTTGACCCCCGGCCACCCACCCCTACTTACATGGGAACTGGCCAGAAAGGTTGGGTCAACCCCTGCAGAAAGTACGTCCTGGAAGGGCCACAGGGTGAAACCACAAGGCAGACACCTTTGACCCCAGGGCTCCCCACTTCTTCCTGCTCTAGGGGTTGTGGGACAGGGGGCCCCTGACCAGAGCCAAGAGCTGTGGAGGCCAGGCTGCCCCTTGATGTGTGCCCAGGGGACATGGCACCTCCTTTCTGGGGCAGACCTTCCACGGGAAGTTGTCCCAGCCCCCGAGGGCAGGCTCACCACTGGCGATGAGTACAGGCTGCTGGCAGGGGGTGCCGAGGAGGCCACGGGCACAGGCTCTGCCTTGGGGTACGCAGCATACGCAGACTTCTGTCTCTGTGGGAGAGCCAGGAAAGGTCTGTGGGGAGCACCCCGGCACGGCCCGGGCCCACACTCCTCTGCCCCCCCCAGACATGCAGGCGCGCTCCCCTACCGCCCGACGCAGCACAGCCTCAGGCCGCCTCCCCCGCGGCTCACCACCCTCTCCTTCTCCTCGGCCTCTGACTGCGACAGGGCCAAGGCCAGCTGCAGCTCCTCCTCCTCCTGCAAGGCGCTCTCATCCCTCTTGGGGGGCAGCTGCAGAAGGACAGGCTGGTGAGCAGGGCCCAGGGCAGAGGCACCCCCCGGGGGGCTGGGGCCAGTACCTGGGACTGCTGCGACAGTGGGCTGGTTAGGTACTCCGGGGGCAGTTCTGCTGTGGAGGCCTTTCCTTCTGCTTTCCTGCAGGTGACAGGAGGCTGGGGGTGGCGAGCACCGGCCCCCAGCCCCCCGAGTCCTCCAGGATTCCGCCTGGGACTTCCCTCCCATACCCACATGACAACCACACGTCACAGAAAGGCTGGACCCACAAAGCAGCCGTGTTGTCCCCGGGCCTCGGGCCCCCGGCTGGTCACCTGGCCTCAGCCACAGCCCCCTCCCAGAAGCAAGGTTCAAACACCCTCTGGGCCAGGCTGCGGCTCTCTGCAGCAGAGGGAGGCCACCACGGCCCCGAGGGGTCAGCGTCACCACCGGCACTGGGACCCACAGGCAGCATGGGCCTCTGGCCCAGCCGCGCTGCCGGAGTCCCGCCAGGAGACAGAGCCGTACGGGGGTCGCGTCCTTCCGAGACGTCTGCATCACGCAAGACAAGAGCCGGAAAACGCCTGGGTTGGGGAGCCCCGGGCTGAGCCGGAGGCTGGCGGGCCCCCAGGGCGATGGGGTGCGCAGTGGGGCTCACTTGTTCAGCTGCTCGAAGCAGGGCTCGCACACGCGCACCTCCTTCTCGATGCCAAACTTGGGGATGGTGGAGGACCTGGAGGAGCACTTGCCGCAGAAGATCTGGCCGCACGCCCGGCAGTGGTGCTGTGACGAGGGCAGTCAGGGCGTGGCCTCGTCGGGCCCCCCGCCCCTTGGCCCGCCTTGCCCGGCCCTCCTCAGAGAGCACCGGAAGTCGAATTTAAAAGAAAGACTGGCAGGAACTGTGCAGGAATGGTGCTGACAGACTGAGCAATGAGGGGGTCTGCTCAGACGCCCCAGCCCCTGGCCCGAATGCCTAAGGCCTGTGCCACAGCGGAAGAGATGGACGGCTCGAGGGCCTGAGCCAGCCAGGCACGGCCAGCCGAGAGGAGGCAGTGGGCCACCAAGTCCCACCAGAGCTTCACCTGGCAGCACTGGCCATCAGGCCCCAGGGCCTTGAGGACCACACTGGCCACACAGCTAAGGGCTGGATTTACTCCCCACACCCCCAGCCACGGCCCAGAGGGGAAGGCCCTTCAGTGGGTGCAGGGCCTCCAGGCAGCAGTGGGTGGTCTGGGACCTGCCAGACCCTCCCCTGTGGCTGCTCAGGGCGGTCCAGGCCGGCTGTACTCACCTTGCGGGTCACCACCCCGAACTGCACCCTGCACCGGTGGCACTCCTCGGCATCTACCCAGTCAGGCGCCTGGGGGCGGCGGGCAGGGTCAGGTGACATAGCCCCGCCTCCCTACCAGGACTCCCACTCCCCACAGAAGGGGGAAGACCCCAGGGTGAGCCAAGCCACTGCAGACTCAAGGAAGGACCCTCCCTCCAAGAGGGTTTTCCTGTTCTATAAATGGTGACAGCAGTGAAGACTTCCCGCAGCTCTGGGGACACGTAAACATCTGTCTTACAGCCACATGAGCCCACTAGCAGAGCCCAAGGACACCTCCAACAGCCTGGATCTCAGCGTGCAGAGGAACAGCTGCATGGTCCACTTGAGACAGTCAGATGTCCTCATTTCCAAGACAAACAGCAGCCCTGCTCCTGAGAGCCAGACCCTTCCGCTTCCTAAAAGCACTCAAGGCCTAGATTCCCAGCACCCGCAAACTTACTCTCTCTGCAGCAAACATGGCGTCGCTCTCCTTGAACTCTGGGAAGACGTGTCCTGGAGAAAGGGGACAGTCACTTGCACGTCCTCACACGGTCTGTGGTGAGACCTTTAGTGAGGAGCTATGTGCTAGCTCTTGGTTTCTACCTCCCCAGAAAGATTTACGAGAGGTGTTCCACACACCCCGGGCGGCAGGCACAGAGACCGCATGCCAGAGTCTTGGCCCATGAGGGTGTTCCCCATCGGCACTCTGCTCCGGGGTCCACAGCACAGAGCCAGGCTTGCTCCCACCAGGTCAAAGCCTCACAGGTCCTTGGGCCTCTTGTCTGCCTCCCAACCGCCCAGTCCAGCCAACTACACATCCTAGTACTGGTCGTGGCAGGACTCCCAAGGCTCTTTTGAGGCCCAGACCCCTTGGGAACCTCAGGAAGCTTTGCATGAATTCTCTAGGAAAGGAGACATGTACACACACCCAGAATCTGATGTCCAACGCAGGGATTGAGGGCCTGAGGCCAGCCCACCAACCTGGATGGGACCCTCATCACATTCCCCACATGGCCCTGCCCACTGCACAGCCACCAGATACTACCCCTGCTCGTGCTGATGCCCCTACTTTAGGACCAGGGGATGTGACCGAGGCTCTGCTCAGCTCAGACGTATCCTTCACTGCCTAGTCCGAATGCGGCCACATCCACTGCCTTCTTTGCAGAACGAACCAGCTCTCCGTGGCCACTGCAATGGCCAGGAGGAACACAGAGGGGTCCCTAAAACCCCACCTCGGTGGCCACACACCCACTTACGTCCTCCTGGGCTCCCCAGCTCTGGCCAGCACCTCGGCAGTCGGGCTGCTGGAGCCCAGGACTTTGGCACTGAGTCTGCTGTGGGGTGCAGGGCCCAGACCTCCTCTGCTGGGCTCAGCTCACACTCAGGTCTGGCCTGTGTGCCGCCTGCTCCCCAGCAGGACCTAGCACTCTCAGAAACGAGTGGCTGTTAACCTGTCACTGTGTTGTCTGAAACACCACCCACCCCTGCCCTGATGGGGCATCTGAAGTCTGGAAAGATGGACTCAACTGCCCAGGTTAGGGATGAGGCCATGCTGCCCTGTGGGGACACCTGCTCCGTGCTCTCACCACCACCCACAAAGTGAGGTGCCATCCCCCAGCCCTGCACTGGCTGGACACAGCTGCCCTTGGGCCCAGCTGGCACAGGGAGGCCCCTCAGTTCCTGAAGGCCATGTCCCGAGCCTGGGACTCACCCTCCACCTTCATGATCTGGTACGTGTCCTGGACTACTTTATACTTGGGCTCGTTCCGGAAGGCATGCGCCCAGGCCTGGATCAGGTACAGGATCTTGTTTCGGACGTTCACTTCTACCTGCCTCTGCAGAGAAGGACGAAGAGCATCAGAAGGGCCCTGGGACATGCAGGTGGAAAGGAGACCTCTTGGCGTGAAGAAGTGGCTGCCAAGACCCCATTACTACAGCCAGGAGGGGAGGGGCCCTCAAAGAAGGCATGGGCACCATGTGCTGACCACTGCCCAGGCCCAGCCCTCCTCACAGAACCTCATTCCCTGAGGACAAACTCAGGAAAAACTGGGGGACCCCCGAGGCCAAAGCTCCCCAAATTCCACTACTCTGTAACTGCCTTTTTTCCTCCTGCTCCACGGGAGCCTGACTGGCCCCAGAATTCCCTTGGTCTGCAACCTACCCTGGCCAAGCCAACACCACGTTTTAACACATAGGACCAACTAGGCCTGCGCTTAGCAAACAGGTGTGTAGTGGCCGGTCACCTCCTGGTCACTGCGGGCCTGGGATGGTGGAGGCAGCTGGACCAGGAAAAGCCCCAGATGCAGAGCCACCACTCACACTGGGTTAGGGCACAGCCAGTCACATTCTAGAGCTCTCTCGGGGACACTGTCCATACATGACGTGCAGGAGGGTGGCAGGACAAGAAAGCTGCTTCATGGAGATGCCGACTAAGCTCACAGCTGGGCTTCTGATCCTTTCCCATAACCCTTGTCTAGTCAGTGAACCCCCGCCGCCATGCCGTCATAACCCTGTCCCTCCAAGAGGGTAGTAACTGGCTCAGACCATGGGCAGCATGGGGACACAGTTGTGCCAGGTTCTGAACCTGTCCACTCTCAGTCACAGGCGGGAATGGCCTTGGCCACCAGTCAGACTGGAGAAGCCCTGCTGTCAGTTCAAGTCCCAGGTGGGCTCTTGGCTACAAGGACCCACAGGCGCCTCAGGCCCTGGAAACTGTGGCCCAGTCCTCTGGTGGTGGCAGAGATGCTGTCTGAGCTGTACTCCCCAGCCGGCACACCTCTGTGGGACACCCTATCAGCTCAGAGAGTGGCTGCACCTAACTCCACATCACACAGCCTCCCGGTGTCGCCACCCACATCACAATCCCTGCAGGAGTGGCTGGCTCGGGACGACCTCTAGGGGCCCTGGGAGCTTTTCCTCCTTTGCTACAGGAGGTGTGATGCCTACTCCCCAAGGGACCCCTGCTCTGCTGTCTCTACCCAACTCTCCCCCAAAGATACATCCAACTCCCATGCCTCCCTGCTCGGAAGCCTTCCGGCCTCTTCCTGGGACCCACCGGCCCCAGCGCCCCCCCGGGGATCTGCACACACTGTTCCCTGGCTGCTCGTGCATGCAGCTCTGTCCACCACCTCTCCTGCACTCAGCAAGCACCCGCTGCGCTTCAGGCGGGGGCACTGAGCCCTGCGCCGGGAGGCTTTCCACAACCCCCAGACATAAGACCAGCTCACTCTGGTAAGACCCAGCCTGACTGGGCTGCAGCCTGCACGCAGTGCAGGGACTCCCAGCACCAGCCCTCCTGTCCTCCGCCCTGCCCAGCACCGCTCCTGCCGCAGGTGCCAGCAAGCATGCGGAAACCCGACTGGCCCTGCTGGACCTCCCTGCCCCCTGAGGGCACCTTCAGCAGCTCCTTCAGCTCCTCCATGGTCTGCTTGTTGGCTACCTCGTCATGAACTGTCTGGCCACAGTTCTTCACCACGGACTCCATGACCTACAGACCCCAAAGAAGGGAAGGGTGGGGCTGCTGCTTAGGGCAGGGACCCCACCCTGGAGGGGCCCACCGCCCCATGAGAAGGCAGACCCTGACAGGCCCATCGGAAGGGCCCGTGCAGCCACCTCTGGGTCTAGCAGTAGCCCGTGATCCACATGCCCCTCCCACTTGAACGGGTCACCAGGGATAGCCAAGGAGGGAGACCAGAGTCAACCCTCGGGCCCTACGTCTGTCAGCCTCAGCATTTGAGGCACTACTCCCATCCCACTCCCCAGCAGGCAGGCAAGGCCACAGTGTGGATGCAACTCTGCCACCTTTGCCACTGGGCAAGGACTCTTAAGGCGACTAGTGTGCAGGAGTCGGACTACCTCCAGGGCATACAAGGCCACATGTGGGTTCTTGTCATTGACTTTCTTCTTAATGGAACTCACAGCATATTTTGCTCTGGAAAAAAAAATATATTAGTGAAAGCAGAGAGAGAAACAAAGAAGAAAACAATCTCAGCAACTAAGATGAGAAAAGCCCCCCCACTGTCTGGTCCTCGAGAATTCCGAGCAAACATTACTGTAACCATGCACCTCCAAGTTGTACAGAGAAAACCCTTTAACTGTCCCTGGGTCTCAAAAATCCTGTCATGCAGACCACCCAGTCTTCCCCTTACGTGCCTAATGTGGTCAGCTTCCTCCAGGGCAGAAAGCCGCAGGCCCCTGGAGGATCAGTGAGCCCCGTGCAAGGAGAGCCTCCCCTGCTTCTGAGGGAGCGCAGGCCCTCCTCACTTACTGCGTGTCCCCCTGGCGGATCAGGTCACAGATCTGGAGGATGGACTCCCAGTCAGTCTCCAGCAGGAGCTGGCTGGTCGCTTTGTCTACGGCAGAAACGCATCATTACAGGGCATATCCTGCTTTGTGATTCCCTACACAGTCCCCTCAGCTCAGCCACAGGGCGGAGGGACTGTCTCCTCCCCATTTGGGCCAGATGGAAAACCACGTGAAAACCCTCCTGATGCACGACAGTGACGACCAAAGTGCTCTCCTTCGCGCATGAGAGACAAAGAAACTGAAAAAATTACAGAGAATGCCTGTCCTGTGCTGTTCCCAATGCTACAGGCCTCCCTCGATTCTCATCCAGCCTTCTAAGGCAGGCAGTCCCACCGTTCTCGCACGTAAAGAAACTGAAGAGAGACGAGGCCACACAGCTCCCTGGGGACAGAGCAGGATTCAACACTATGCTCAGCTGCTTCTCAGCAGAGAATTCTGCCACCTCACCCCTCAGAGTACTGTTTTTTCGTAAGTTTAACCATTCAACGAGATCCCAGCAGGGGCAAGGCTGGGGTGAGATGCCGCACAGCACGGACTCTAGCCCTCCACTGGAAGTGTTTTGTGGGGCGAAAACAGCATCAACCTCCAAGAAGGATTCTCCAACAAACACCGCTTACAACCATCACCTCTACTCTGTCACCACCGTGCCTAAAACATGCGCTCTGAGGGGCTGCCTCACCAGCCCTGCCGCACGTCTCCGGAAAAGACCACTAAGTGTTCCAATTAGGTGCGCCTGCTTTCAGTCCTGCTCTGGCAGTAACTTCTGGATCGCTCTTGGCAGGGCTGCCTGTATGTCCCAAAAACAAGGAGGGCGGCTCATCTGAGGTCTCCGAAACAACTTCAAGGAAAGATGCTGACCGTTCCAGCACCCCGAGCGCCCGTCTCAAACCCAGAGCGCTCAGTTTCACGGGGGGAGAAGGGTACATGCCCACAAACATCTGGTTTCCTCCCCAAAACCTATGGCTTCTGCAAAACCCTTTAACAGTCCCAGGGTCTCAAAAAACTGAGAGGATGGCCTTGCACCTCCGACCAACAGGAATGGCTGGGGCGCCTCCCGGAACCGAGCGGGGACCGACGCGGCTGGGCAGGCTCCTGGGGGACCCTGGGGCTCCACCCCCACCCCAGGCAGCGCGGACTCCTGGAGGGGAGGGGTCTCCGAGGCTTCACCGCCTGAGTCACCGTTCCCGTGACTCAGGATGCTGGCAGACGTTCCGGATCCACACGGAGCCGTCGCTGCCCCCGCCTCTCTCGGCCGCCTTGGCACGGACCCGGCCTCCTCGGCGGAGCCTCACTCCGTCGGTTCCCTGCCTCGCGGCGCGCCCACCCGGGGCGGCGCACCCACCCCCTGGCCCAGGTAGCGCGGCGGCCTCCCAGTTCCGCCTCGTTCGGGGCCCAGCTGGGAGGGGGCGGGAGCCGCGTTACCTAGGAGACGCTCGAAGGTGCCGCTGCCGCGCCCCATGGCGACCCCGGACCCGGACCCGACGCCGCGACGTTCCGTATTTAGAGCCTGCGCGCCCCCGACTTCCGCTTCCGCCTTCCCGGCGGGCACGCGCTCGCGGCCGATGCGGGTCCCAGTCGCTAGCCACGAAGAGGCGGGCCTTTCCGCTCGCCCTGTGCGACGACTGGATCGCTCCCGTTGAGCCTCAGCATCAAGAGCCAATGAGCAGCCTGGACGCGAGTCCTATCCAATGGGAGCGAGGCGGACGGGGGCCTTGCGTCGCCGGGGCACCAAATTACGGGAGCCGGAAGGAGCGAGGGCTTGTGATGTGTCTCTTGCTGGGGGCCACCGGCGTGGGAAAAACGTTGTTGGTGAAGCGGCTGCAGACTATCCTTCCGCGCGGGGTTATGGGACCGGGAGCCGGGTGTGCCCGAGGGACCAGGGCTAGAGGCGGGGTTTGGGGAGCCGGGGGCACCATGGTTGGGGGATGGGGTTGGGGGGGTCTCCGGGCACCGGGGCCTGGAGGACAAGGGTGGGGCTTGGGGGCTCCCGGGGCGAGGTCCGGCCGTCGCCCGCCTCCTCTACTCCTCTCGGGATCCTTGACCGCCCGGCACAGCTGAGCTCCTCGGATGGGAAGGGCGCCCTGGGCGATCCTCCCCCGACGCGGCCCACGGTAGGCGTCCGTCCTCCCGCAGGTTTAGTAGTCGGCATGCCCTTTATAGTTTTAAGATCTTAGGGCTGTTTTAAGTGGAGGGTCAGTGTGTTGGATACGACCCCGGAAGGTGAGTGAGGTGTCAGAGGCAGGAACTGCACTCCATTGAACAGAGCTGCGGTGGATGTGGGTGCATGGCGAGGGACCCCTCACCGCTGGCCCCTCACCGCTGTTCAGACTGCTTCCTCTGGTCGCCCCGGAGGGCGAATCCAATTGATGGGCATTGGTGCCCTGGCCACAGCGAGCCCTGAGGGGTAGGGCCCCTGGAAGCATCCTCTTCCTTAGGGTTCTGCTTTAGGGCCCAAGCCCTTGAGAGGGCCTGTTAAGGTTTAGGTAAACCTGTTAGGGTACAGGTAAAGGACTGGGCAGGTTGCTATACAGGAGATCCAATGGGAAAACTCTTGTTTTTTCTACCTGCATTGGGGTTTTTTCCACAGGTAGGCACCAACCTTACTGACATCGTGGCCGAAAGAAAGATCACCATCCGGGAGCTGGGGGGCTGCATGGCCCCCATCTGGTCTAGTTACTATGGAGATTGCCATTCTCTCCTGGTAGGTCACAACCCTTTGAACTTCCTTTGACCTATGTCCTCTTTTTGGTATTGTCTGGACGCACTTTGTATAGGATGGAGTTTGGGGCAGTCAAGAGTCAGTCAAGTCAGCGGGGCCCCCTTTGAGTTGCTTCCCTCTGGGAACCTGTGTGGTCATAAGGCCGGTCTCCAGGCTGACATGAACACTCACAGAGGCTTCCTGAGGGTGGTTGGTTGTGCTCGGAGGTAACTGCCTGACGCCTGCTGTCTTGTTCCCCTGGGTTGTGTTTTTATGTTTGTGTTTGAATTCTACATCCCCTGGGTTCGTCCCATCCTGTGCCCTAAATTCCAGGACCCTTCCTGGGAGAACTGATGGCCACACAAGTAGAGAGACTTCCATGTAGGTGGAAACAAACAGGTGACACCTGGTCACTCTCATGCAACTCATTTACCTCTGCTCCTGTCTGTCCCCAAAGCCCTTTATTTGCTCTTTATGAGGTCTGTGATGCTCCGGGGCAGAGACTTGGCAGGGACTCTCCGTTAGTGGGTGGCCTCAACCTCCACTGCCTTTTCCCCAGTTCATGGTGGACGCCTCCAGCCCCACCCAGCTCTCCGCATCGTGTGTGCAGCTCCTGGGTCTCCTTTCTGCAGAGCAGCTGGCAGAAGCATCCGTCATGATACTCTTCAATAAAACGTATGGGTCTGTGAGCCCAGAGGGAGTGCGGGGGGTGTCCCAGGGAGGAGCTCCTTGGAGTGTAGCCAGGAGAGGGGCTCGTTTGGGAGGGGGCACAGCAGGGGCTGGGGCAGCCCCCTCTGACAGAGCACTTCTTTCACACCAGTGACCTGCCCTGTTACATGACTGTAGAGGAAATGAAGTCTTTAATCAGGCTCCCTGATATCATTGCTTGTGCCAAGCAGAACATCACCGCGGCAGAAATCAGTGCTCGGAAAGGCACTGGCTTGTCAGAGGTTCTGCGCTGGCTCCAGGACACCCATAAGACCGAGAGTTGACTACCCGCGGAGAAACGTGGCTGGCTGGCCCTGTGGCAAGGAGGAGAGGCTGGGGCCCCTTGGCCTCCAGCAGTTTGTGCTTATAGACACAGGATGACCTGATGTACAAGCCCAGAAGGTGGTCTTCTGTGCCAGTTTGCAATGACAGATAAACTGAGGCACACGGGTTACAGAAACTCCTGACGGCTGGCCTTTGAATGCAGACTGTCCTGTGGACTGGAGAGGACAAGCCTGCACGTGTCTGGGTGTCCAGCTGCATGGGATGGTGCTGCTGGGATCTGTCCCCCTCCTACCAGGAAAACAGCTCCCCTTTGGGGTGCACAGCATTGCAGAGCCTGCTTTCAGCTACAGCACAAGCTCCAACCTGTTGAGTTTCTGATACGCTGAGGGTGTGAGGCTCTAAGAACCAAGCCTGATCCAACAACAGTGACATGTTCACTGGTTCCTTTGTTCAGCAAACATTTGTCCCCAAGGAGCCTGCAGAAAGCAGGGTTCAGCAGGTAGGAGAGGGTGGGGGAGGCTGGGATGGAATGCAGAACCTCAGGGTCAAGGTGTCCTAGCCCACTGTGTTCCATCCTCTAAGCCAGGGGGCTTGCGGGGAACACCTGTTGATCGGTGTGTTCATGTCCTAAGGTCCCTGCAGCAAATCCCACAAACTGGGGCTTACACCAGTGGGAATTTACACTCAGTTCTGCAGGCCGTAAGACAAATCACAGGGTCAGCAGGGTCGGTTCCTTCTAGAGGCTTGAGGAAGAACCCTGCCTGGCCTCTGAGCTGCTGGTAACGTTTGATGCTCCTTTGCTAGTGGCTTGTAGAACTTGAATTTTGGCTTGTCTTTGTGGGACCCTCTCCTCATAGGGACACCTGTCATTGGATTTAGGGCCCACCCTAACTCTAGGGTGATCAAATTTTGAGATGTGTGATTACATTTGCAAAGACCCTTTTCCCAAATTTCACCTTTACATGTTCTGGGGTTATGACCTGGGCACATCTCCTCAGGGCTACTGTACAGCCCACTACCACGGGATAGGCAGCTTTCGACCTCAGCTAGCAGTCTGGACTCACCGGGCTCCAGGCATCTGCTGTCTTACTTCCTCTGTGCAAAGTGGCAGGCTCAGAGCCTCAGCCTCTGCAGGTTCCTGCTCTCTGCTTTGGGACCAAAGCAGTTGGCTTTCAGATGTCCCCCCATTTCAGAGCTACAGCACAAAACACTCCCCGGAGACATGCACTTGGCTGTTTCAAGGGGTGACTGGCCTGTACTGTCTGAGCAGAGCCTCCAGCCACGGGCTTAGTCTCTTGACAAGTGAGAGTCAGGCCTGGTGACACCCCTAATGGGAAAGCTGGCCTGGGCTAAGGGCCACTCTGACAGGGCCTGGGAAGACAATCTCATACTTTATCAGGCCAGTGGAAACTGGTTTTAAGACAAACTTCCCTTAACAGCCAGTTTCTCCCTCTCCACTCTCATGCAGCACTCGATGTGCAGGGAGCAGGCCCTTCTTAGGGACCTGCTCGCCCTGTTTCTGATGCCATTCCCATGTCTCAACGCCCTATAAAAAGGGTGCAAACTGGGCAAGTGGGCCTGCTGCCCATCCAGGCTGAGGAACAAAAACGGAAGGTGGAAGTACAGGTTCGAGGAGGCGGGAAGGTAACCGAGAGCCAGGGTCAGTCCGACTGCATGTGCTGCAGGAGGGAGTCCCAGCTACCTGCCGCGAACACCACCCCTGGTCACCTTGTGCAGGGGCTGGGGTCACCCGCCACTCAAACATGTCCCCAAGAGAATACCAGTCGAGTTCAGGCACAGCTTCCTCAGTTTAAATGTTTAATTGGAAAATAAGCTTCCTTGTAGATACAAACTCTGGGAAGGGCAAAGGGATCCCCAGGACCCACCAGTCTCCACACACTCTTGAGGGCTGCCCTGCTGGGACTGGGCTGGGCCTTCTCAACTGTGGCCCTCCTCCTTGCTGTTGAATTTCCAAAAGCTTTGGAGCCTCCCCACCTTTCACCTGTACCCCAGGTCAGATAACACCTGGCTGCTCCCGCCTTGGTGCCAGTGGGGAGGTTCAAACCCTGCAGGCCCTGGCATTGGCGGGAACCTAGCACCTGTTGGGAGCAGGATGGAAGGGGCTGCACAGTGGCCTTCCCAGAGGAGCACCGATTTCCCTCCTGCTCGAAATGCCCCTTCTAATAAATTTGCCTATTTCGGTTTCAATTCAAGCTGCCCCTTCAGGGAAGAGGCCATATCCAATTCTCCCTGAAAATTTTGAGTGCTGGCCCTAAAGGAAATTGGAAAAAATCACTACTGCCCTTGTGACTACCCCCGATGATGGGAGAGTGAGACCCCCATGAGAACTGGACGCAAGCTTATGGGAAAAAAAGATACGGAAAATTTACCTGGGTCAAGGTCCCTTCCCCTGCCCCTACCTGGCCTCCAAATGACATATTCAATTAATGGTGGCAGGTGGGTACAGAGAACAAATGATATTCTGTGGCTAGCCTGCCAGAGAACAACTGGCAAACTATAAAACACATGACAACAGGGCATTACCTAACCAGCTCAGAAAAATCTCCAGTCTTACTGAAAATGGGTGTGAGGCACAGTCCATAAAATTTGTCCCTGCCTGCCAGAAGGTCATCGTGTTCTTTTAGAGCCTCTTTCTTTCCTACCAGAGATGAAGAATGGGAGTATAGATATGAAAGCATGAGAATAAAAATATAATTACTTAAAAAAATAGAATAGTGAACTTTAGATTCCAAGAGTCTGGCACCTACTTAACCTTTGTAATATTTTCTGGCCGCAATAACTAAGAACAAAGCTTACTTAGAAACAAGTTAACTGCTAAGACCTGCCAAACGATGTACCTCATTCTCCAGACTCATGTAACCATACTGTGTGTCAATTAAATGATTCATATCTGTACTTCATGTAATCACAGAGTATATAATCAGGCTGCTACTTTTCATTAAAGGCCAGGCTCAGCTTTGCCAGTGTCTGTGTCCTCATCCATTCAGTCGCCGACACCGTCCATCCCTCAGGGACTCCTGGACTCGCTGGAGCTGGACTCCAGCACATACCCCCTAACACGAAGGACCCAGAGCAGGACCTTGCCCTTGCTGTTGAGCCATCCTAAACCTGGTCTCCCCTGAGACCTGGGTGGCATAAGGATCAAACCCCAACCCTCTTGGTGTGGGTGTCGCCATCAGCCTCCACATCCGAACCACAGCCTGGGCGGACCCCACCTGCCTCAGCACTGCAGTCTGAGTGGTGGAGATGCTGACGCCCTCACCCTGGGTCGGTCGGGCTGGGGCTGCCAGCTGCGCTGTACCTGCACCGTTGACCCTGGCAGTCTCCATCATCCACTTACTGGACCTAAATTGCTGTGTCTACAATGCATTGGCATTTAGGGACAGGATTATGGGATTGGCTCTCCCTAAAATGGCCCTGGGTTGAGTCAAGTCGGAACTGTGTGTCCAGAACAAAGCCGTAACACTAGGCTTGGGACAATGGTAGGTATGCCCAACTGGCTCAACCCCATGTAAGGGACATCAGACAGCCTGCATGACACAGGCTGGTGGGTGGTCACTTTTTAGGGGAGAAAGCAAGGGGGAGCACAGACCTGGAGCCCTCGCCTCGGCCCAGGGTACGCTCCAGGCAAAGGGCTCGGCTGCAGGCCACAGGGCTGCCTCGACCACCCAGGTGCGACAGCCCCCATCTCTTGCTGTCACAGGCATATCTTTGGCTTCTTCCCAGAAGGGAGGCAGGGTGGCTGAGCCCCCCGCCGCTGCAGCTCCTTCAGTGCTCTGTAGGCCTGCACAGCCCGTTCTCTCTCCTCCCCAATGATCCGTTGGCGGGCCAGCGAGGTGGCTGGAGGCTGAGACACACTGCTGGGGTTCAGAAGCGTTCTCAGCATCAGAGATTGCCTGCCAGGCTGAGGAACAAAGATGGAAGGTGGAAACACAGGTTCGGGGAGGAGGGAAGACAACCGAGAGCCCGGGTCAGTCCAAGAGCTGAGAGCCCAGCGAGAAGGCCGTGCTCTTGTGTCTGTGGACCCAGGCCAGGCAGCTCCAAGGGATGACCGGGGCAGCTCCCAACCGCCCCATCCCTGCTTACCTGGCCCTTGCTCACGCGCATCCTGGGCTTGGCGGTCAGCTCGGGGGGCTGCAGGACAACCTCGCCAAACCTCACCGTGTCTGGGGGCAGAGAGCATAGCTGTGGCCTGCTGCACAGACGCCCACTTCAGTCCCAGCACCCAGAGCCACAGTCTGCCTGGGTGCACAGGTGCCTGGGCCCTCCCCAGTCCCCTCTGCTGGGACCTAGGCTGACACAGTCTCTTCGGAAATAGAGACCTTGGAGCAGCTCTCGCTCCAGCCTTTCTGCTGCCTCTTCCTCCCTTTTCTGCCGGACTTTATCCAGTCGCCGCTTCTGGAACCTGGGGAAGAAAGCACAATGGCACCCAGACTCCTAAACACTCATCCCACGGGACTTGGGAGGAGGTGGAGGTCACCCTGCCCATGAGGGCTGCCCCAAGTCCCCACTCCTGCTACTACCTGCAACCCACAGCCAACTGCCAGAGGGCACAGACCCCTAGGCCCCTCCAAAGTTCCAAGTCAGTGGATCTTGGTGGGGGCCATTTTGGGTTACTGCAATGAGGGGAGGCCAGGGTGCTGCTTGACACCTGTGCTGCACAGGACAGGCCCCGCCTGAGAGCCACCCAGCCCCAAGTGTCAATTGCTGCTGCCTCTGAAGGGCCTGGCAAAGTAGCAGAGATGTGACATGGCCCCTTAATGTGGAGCCTTTAGCCACAGTTCTGGAGATGGCTGCAGCTTTATAGATGGTATCTGGCACAGGTTTCCTGTGATGTCATTGTTATCAGCTAACATGAGCGCAAAGATGACCATCCCACAGGTAATTCCACAAAGTTGCAAACAATGTCACACTTTCACAGCTTTCAGAGAAACTGCTCATGAAAAGTTTGGGTTGGTTCACCTCCAAAGTTGCAGTTAAGGCAGAAACATCTCAAAAGACCCTTGTTTGCTAAAATCACCTTCCCAGCCCCGCCTGCAGGCTCACGGAGGTGGCACATGACTTTGTTTCCAGCTGTCTCCAGGGCCGGGGGGCAGGAAGGGCAGACATGCAGCTGGCGGTGGGTTCTCTCCTGGTGCTGGATGCCACCCTCAGGAACCCTTAGGTTCTCACCCGAGCCTAGTGGAGAGGCCGGGAGCTCTGCTCTCCAGACAAGCAGATGAGGCTGAGAGAGGTCACAGAGCCTGTGCCAATGACATAGCCAAAGACTGTCCATCTCCTTTGGACCAGAAAGGTGACTACTGTAAACAGAACCCTGGTCCAGGTCTTGGGAGAGAAGGTGACACTGGCTGACCAGAGCTGCGTGTCAGTCTCAGCTGGATCCCCACCCATGGCACCGACTCCCATGGGGGCAGGCACGGCTGTCCGGAGTGTACCAACTCTCATCTTTTCTCCACTTCCCTACAACTGGCCTGGGGTGGACAGGTGGCCCTTGGCCTCACCTGGCTATTGGAGGCCCTTGGTGTTTTTCCAGAGAAAGGCAAAGACCAAGCCAGGTGTCCAGAGCTCCATGGTTCAGAGTGCTCCTGAAACCCCTGGCTAAGAAGCTCTGAGGCAGAGAAAATGCTCACTGACTGACAAGGATTTTAACTTCTGACCACATCTTCCCTGAATCATGGGTGGGGTGTGGGTGTCTCCTGGCAAGAAAATGTTGTTGCTGGAGCCAACAGGGGACCCCCAGCCCTGCTCCCCCAGACCTCCAGTCCCCACTCACGCTTTCTTCCGCTCTGATTTCTCTTTCTTGGTAGCTTCCAGCACCTCGGGTTGCCGGTCCACCTGGTTCCTGCTAAGGAACAGCACGTGCTGGGCCTCTTGCTCCATGCGCTGGATGTAGGCTCCACTGGACTCCCACTTCCTCTGCCTGAACTTGGGGACAGTGATATCTGGCTCCAGTCCCTTTGCTTCCTTCTCCATTGTCTTTCTGAAGGCCACCTGGGCTGAGGACAAAGGGAGACCTCAGAGGGGGCATGGTGTGATGGACAGAAGGAAGAGGGTGATGCCAGGCCGACAGCCCACGCTGGCTTCCCCTCCCAAGGCCCCAGAAAAGTAAGACCAGGCTCAAATGGGAGCAGCCCAACTGCAGTGGCTAAAGAGGCTCAAATATGCCTATAGGGATGGGACCCCCACAGTCCACAGTTCATGTCAGTGGCGTCCACCACAGCTGGGCTGAAAAACAAACAAGAAACAACCAAAGTATCAATCAATAGGGGGCCTGTCAAATGAATTCCCCTGCTACCCACAGACTTCACTGCACAGCTGTTGAAGACAATACAGGAGAGCTGCACGCAGGGATGAGGAAAAGTTTGTAAAATCCACGGTAAGGGAAAATCCAGGACACTAAGCAATATGTAGGTTGAAAGCACAGCTTTTACACTGTGAATATGTGAAAACATGCACTGTTATCTCTCTCGGGAAGGCATTCAGAGATGAGCAGTGGTTTCTTTCAAGGATTCAGAGACAGAAGGAGACTATGTCCTATTTCATACCTCTCAGAGCTACTGATTTTACCACATATGTGAGTTTGTATCTTTCAAATAATTTAACAAAAAAAAGTGCTGGTTCAATGGCTCAAAATGTGCTGTCTTCCTCCGCAGCCAGTGTACCTCCTCTGCCCGCCCCTTCCTCGCCTCTAAAACCCTCTATGAAAAGCTTAAGGTTTACATAGAAATTATAAAACAGCACTTCTGAAAAATTAGTCCCATGTTTGGGAAAACAAATACATATATACACAGGAACACACTGCTCTGTTCCCCAGCGAGCTCTGAGCGTTTTCCCCGGCCGAGGCTGACAGGCGGGCCCGACATGGCCTGGGGGGAGGACGGGAGGGCTAAGTTTCTCAGAGGGGACCTGACCCTTTCCTTCCTTGACCTTCGGACACCACCCACTTCTCTCTACCCCATTTCTGCACTCTGATCCCAGGAACCACCGTTTCTCATCCGCGAGGGCCTCACGAGCCTGCTGTGTCCACTCTCACTCTCTTTTTCATTCTCTCACAATTTTTGAACTCTCCTTTTCGCTCACTCTCACAATTGTTCCATAGAGACCTTTTCTCAAATCCAAACCAACCTGACGCAGCTCTGCGACTCTTGGGGGTGAAATGAGCGGTCCCCCCACGAGGCCCCGGGACTCCCTCGGGAGTCTCATGGGAAAGCGCACCCGCACCGGCCTCCAGCCGCCGCTTCGGCCCAGGGACACAGGCCTCCACCGGCCCGTGAGGGCTCCCGCAGCCTCGGACAGTGCCGTCCTGGCAGATTTCGTCCGCCCGAAACACCGCCGAACTTCGGGGCAAGTGAGGGGGAGCGGGACGCAGCCGCACCGTCACCCGGCGCGGGCCCGCACATTACCCTCTTTCTTCCTCTTCTTGTTGCTGATGGGGTTTCTCATCTCCTGGCGGCTCCTCATTATCTCTCGGAGCCGGAAAGGGATTTCCTGTTCGTCCCGGTTCTTGGGCTTACAATTCACTTTCTTCTTTCCTTTGCTGGGAAAGAGAAAGCGGTGGACGTAGGGGTGAGACGCGTCGCAAGCCCAGCATGAGCAGAGTCACAGAAACCGAACCTGGGCCTGGGAAGAGGGGCTTCGCGCGCCAGCCCGGCTGCCGAGACGCGTGCCAGCCCAGGGGGCACCCTCTCCCGGGGGCTGTCCCTGAGCTGGGGGCTCGCAGGACGCTGCTGGGAGGCGCTCCGAGAGCCCAGGGGCCCATCGTCCCTGACCTCATCCAGGATGACCAAGGCGGCACCCTCGCGCCTGCGCTCGCCCGGCTGATTCCCCCGCGCGCACACAGCACCGAAGGGCGGTGAGACCCACCTGCGCGGCCCGGGCCTTGGTCCCGAGCGCTGCTTGCCTCGCGGCTGGTGTCGCCGCTCCTGCGGCTGCCCCGGGCGCCCGGGCCCCGCCAACCTCGCGGGGCAAGCCATTCGGCGCCCGGCGCCCGCCATCTGCACGCTGGGCTCTCCCCGGACAGCCACTTCCGCCCTTGCGGGCTGCACAGCCCACGACGGCCACTTCCGCTTCCTGCGCTCAGCCTCGCGGTCGCTGGGGCGGTGCAGCTCCCTGGCGGGCCGGGATTGGCCAGGACGGCCGCCGCTCACGGGTCGTGGGCAGGCAGCGGGCGATGCTGCCGCGGAGCTTAGCCGGGGGAGGCCGCGCGGTGGCCGCTGCCGCTCGCGGCCAGGCGAGTACCCGCGGGGGTCTGCTGGGCGTGTTCGGAAGCCGGGACCCAGGAGTGACCGGAGAAGCCCAGCCGCCGCGCCGGCTTCTGCTCTTTCTGCCCGCTCCTGGCGCGCGGGGAGGGCCGCTGTGCGGCCGGGCAAAGCCGCGGGCTGTGCGAGAGGCTTCCGAGCGCGCGTCCTCGGTTGGCAGCATCTCTCCAGCGCCTGCAGCGTGCGAGCCCCTCGGGGAGGCCGCGGCAAACAAGGAGCTAATGCTCCTCGCAGGAGGTGCTAGAGAAATAAGTAGAGGTCGGGCGGTGTCGGTGTTTAGTGCCCTGGCGTCGCATAAAGCGGGGAAGGGGGCCGGGACTGCAGGAGGCGGGGCTGCCCACGAGACTCTGGGGATGACTCGGCAGGTCCCGGCTTCTCACGTTGCAGAGGAAAACGGGTGAAGGGGTGATGCCATCCAGATGGTCAGAGGGGCAGCGTTCGCCGTGCTGGCTGGAGTAGGGGCAGTGGCCCGGAACTTACCGGCTTGCCCCGGCCCCGCAGTCCTGTCCACGGAGCAGAATCGTCCTGGCTGGAGAGCCAGATGTCCCCCCACCCCACCATCTGCTGGAGTGCACAACTCCTGCGAGACCCTGCATGCAGCACTTCTCATGGGTCACTTCATCCTACCAAAGCATTAGGTCCAGTTTACAAATGGGAAACCAAGTCTGGAGGTGAGGAATTGTGGAAGGTCGCACAGGAAGTGAGGAAGCTAAGGACATGGAGCCCCCTACCAGTGACAGGAGGCTGAAATCTCCCCAGAGCTGGGGGCAGGCCAGGCCTCACCAGCTTCCTGGAGACTCATACACTTATCTGCATTCTTAGGGGTCCGGCCGACTGTCCAGCTGCAACCGATGCCAGAGGATTCCTGGAGGCGGTGGCATTCTTCACAGGCACCCTGCCTGGGTCCAAGTCTGTGAAGGCCGCAGAGAGCTGGGGAAGGAGGCAGGCTCCCAAGCAGGCACAGACAGCGCCAGGCAGTCCAGGTCCTCCCTGCCTGGTGGGCGCCCCTCAGAACCTTCACACCACCTGCCACCTGAGCTCCAGCCGCCCACAGACTGCTGCATGAGCGGCTGCCCCAGCTGCGTGTGGGTGCAGTACGCAGATGCGCTGCTGCACCACTACCAGGATGGCGGGCAGCAGGCTCTGGCTGCCCTGGAGGAGCACGTGGCCGACGAGAACCTCAAGGCCTTCCTCAGGGTGCAGATCCAGCTGCACATGCGGAATGGAGGCTGAGCTGGCCTGGCCCCACATCCTTGCCCAGTAGGCTCCCACCTGCCATCTCCACTCAGAAGGCAGCACAGCCTCCTTTGTTTTCAGCTCCCTTGTGGGGCTTGTGTCGGGAACAGAAGGAGCTATTTGTTGACCCCTCCTGAGAATAAACAAGTTCTCTGTGGTGTTTAGATGGGCGCCCATGTTGTTGCCTTTGGGCTTGTGTTGCCTTGTCAGAGAGCAGGTGCAGGTTATCATGTCTCACCATCTCTGAGGGTGAAGTAGGACCCATTTCTTTGAATATTCAACTGATGATGACCATGGGGCCATGTCCCGATACCTCCCATATCCCAGAGGTCCTGCGTGGAGGTCAGCTCTGGTTACTCAGCAGGGCAGCAGAGGGAGGACCACCTAGTCTTGTGAGGTTGCCAATGGCAAAACCCTCAGCGGAAACAGATGCCCACAGAGAGCCTGGGAAGCACCCCGTGTGTCCAGCTGCAGTCAGTCTCCAGCTGTTGTGTTCTTGGGTGGACAGTCTACTGCCAGCCAGGCAGAATCAACCTGCAGGGGCCTGAGCACCACTTAGCCACCAGTCCTTCCCGCTGCTTAGCCATGGCTCCCAAGGCAGCTGGCCAGGGCAGATGGACCTTCAGGCCTTGGGCTTTAGCCCTAGAACCCACCTCCTGGCCAGCCTGTTCCTTGGCTACAGACCTGGCCACTGGACCATCAGCCCAGGTAGGACTTTGTCTTAGGGCCCTTACTGCCTATCCCCATCTCCTGCTGACCCACATCCATGCAAATGTTCCCCTCTCCCCTCCATACATTCCAAGCTCTAATGCCATGGCCTGGCCAAGGCGGGGGCCAAGGAATTTGTGCCTGTTTTATCTCACTTAAGGGAAAAGTTAAAATTGTAATACAATTTCAAGAGGGATTTGAGCTGATAAACAGCATTTCACATAGAGATCTGTGGATGGGAGAACTAAACCACACAGCCACAAAACATGGTGCCACAGGCTAATACCTAGTAAGACACCCAGTAATTCAGGCTGTCATCTTGGACAGCTGTCATCCAGAAAGTGCTGGTTGGCTCAGAGAAACGTGACTATGGCAACACGTGTTTATTACACTCTATAATCTCAGGGAGCATCTAATCTAACCCAGTCCTTGTACAGATTGGAAAATGGCCCAGGAAGAGAGATTTTCCCTAGGGACTGCAGCACAGCGGAGCTCAGTGTGTTCCAGAGCCCCCGAAGGTCTGCAGCGTAGAGGTGGTGTATCAGAGGTGTGGGGAGAGATCTGTTTTCCTCAAAAATAAGAACTTACAAAAGGTTTTCTCTATGTCTATACGTATGTATACACATTATATGTGTGTGTGTGTACATGTGTATATATCCCACCCAGTAGATCCTATGAAACTAGCCTTAATTTGGAATAAAACAGCCATAGCAAACCTGTGTGGTGTGAGATGTCCCCAGAGGGGATCCATTGGCTTTGCCCTTCACAGTGGGGCAGACCCCATTCCTAGATGGCAAACACGGTGGTCAAGCCTGCCAAGCTTGTGGGATCTTGTTTTTCCTCATACATCCGTTTGTTCCTCAGGGACTCCCTGAGCATCTGTGAAGCATCGCCCTGGGCTAGACCCTAGGGCCCAGGGGACATCTGGGCCCATTCCAGTCTACTGTGGAAGGCAGAGGTTAACACAGAAATTACCCAAAAATACAACTACATGATAAATAAAGACGGAAAGCAGCACTGCCATGAGGTCTCCACAGCAGGCATCCTGGTCTGGTTTGACAGGTTGCCATAAGGATATGATGCTGGGGCAGAGCTCAGAAGTCCGGGAGGAGGGCGCTGGGGAAAAGGGAGGGAGAAAACACACCACACAGAGGAGCAGCAGAGGCGAAGGCCCTGGAGCGGGAGGGACGCAGCAAGAGGGAGAGATGAACGGTGAGGACGGTCAGGGAGGCCCAAGACAATGGCCGGTGCCATCTGGCCTTCATTTCAAAGATGAGCAGCTCCAGGAGAGAGTCCTGCCCTCCCCTGGCTATTCCTGAGCTCTTCCCCTTCCTCTCCTGACCCTGGTTCATCCTTAGTGGGTGTCCAGGCTCCTGACCACACCTGAGGGGGAGCCCCTTCCATCTCCTGGAATCCTTAGCGGTGATGCCCGCCTGAGTGGCCTGCAATCTCATTAGTGTGCGTCAGAGGTGGTCTTAATCAGCTTGCCCCGCATGGGGATAAATGCCCTGCCAGCACCCTGCTGAGGGAGGCTGTGCCGCTCACACCCGTGGCCCCAAGACCTGCCTCTGCTGGTGAGTACTGACCTCCAGTTGCGTTTTCTGGCAGCCACTTACCCGGGGGTGTCAGTGGGTATTTGCCCAGAGGTGGGGGGCTGGCAGGCTTTCACCACCACAATGAGGACTGCGCCTGCAGGGGTCCACCCACCACCCTGTTCTTCGGAGGATGCCCAGCCTATTGCCTGTGCTTCCCCATGTCAAACTGGTGCAGGCTGTCCCCAAGGCCAGCAATGGTACAGGAGCCTCGGACCACACATGTTTAGCCAGCTTGAGTGGGCACTAGCCACAGGCTAGGGCAGCTCCGCCCGCAGTTTCCCTGGGGACAGCATCTAATAGTGAGAGCTCCGTCAGGTCTCAGGGCTGCGCATACCAGGCCCGTGGCCCAAGGGGAAAGGGTCTGCCTGGGCTCTAAGGAGTGGGTGTCATGGGGTCTGAGCAGCCAGGACTACCTGGCCCGCTGCTGTCCCCCTTAGACCCTGCGCAGATCTGGCTCCTGAGCCCTAGTCCCTCCCGGGCTGATGCTTGTCCCAGCGCAGAGACCGAACCTTAGGGAGGGAAGGCCCATGGCAGGGTCCACCCCAGTCCCAGGCACCCTGCACCCGCTGCCAAAGCCTCCTCAGCAGTTGGCCATCGGTCCCTGCATCCCGGTTGGTCTTTGCCCTGGTGCTCTAGAAGGCAGCTGGGGGTGACCCAAGGCTGGTATCAGGCATCGTGGCCCACAAGACCAGGGCAAGAAAGGGGACCCAAGAGGTCATGCCTTGGGGCATCCAGTGCTGGGGGCAGTCGCGTCTGCCTGTGCCATGTGCTCAGCCCCTGAACCTTCTGGGCTCACAACAGCCCAGATTAGATTCTCGCTCTGGTGCTAATAGGCTTGGAGGAAGCCAAGCTGCCCTTGGCCAAGGTCACCAGGGCTTAGGGCAAACGGAGAGAGGCTCTGGGGAGGAGGAGGGGAGGACATCCTGTGCGGTGGTGCAAGGACACCAGCAGGTGACACTGGCATCCAGAGCAGGCTCCAAGCACAGCTGAGTGGCCAGGGTATTTAGTAGCAGAGGGAAGACACTGGCCAGTGAGGGTCACAGCTCAGCTCAGCCGCTTCCTGCCCAGGCACCTGCCTTCCTCTTTCTTGAGTCACTCATCTCAGCACTGGGGGCCTGATGTGAATGAGACCAGGTGTTCCAACCCCCAGGGGTGGGTGGGAACACAGGGGAAGGGGGTGGGGAAACACCCAGTACTCTCATTCCCCCTGTCTGGCCCCAAATGGAGCCCCACAGTGCAGTGGCAGGGGCTTCCTGGGGGTAGATGCTACTGTCCAGGTCACACAAAAGATGGCTGGGTCCTGTATCCCAGGGTCCCCTCTGCTCTGAGACCTGAGAGGTGCATCAGAAGTAAGAGGGCTGACTGGGACCTCTGGCCTGGTCTGCCCCCAGCGCCCAGAGTGAGGGAGTCCAAAGCCAAAGGTCACCACAGCGTCTCCACCAGCTTGGCCATGAACCTGGAGCCACCCAAGGCCGAGGTCCGGTCAGCCACCAGGGTGACGGGGGGGCCCGTCACTCCCAGGAAAGGGCCCCCCAAATTTAAGCAGCGGCAAACCAGGCAATTCAAGAGCAAGCCTCCCAAGAAAGGCATCCAAGGGTAAGCAGCCCAAGGGAGGGGCGCCTCTGTGAAGGGGTGGAGGCTGGGTGCCCCGCGACAGGAGGGGCGGGGGGGCTGCGCTCTAGGGAGGGGTCTGGGGAGGGCGCTGAGCCACCCTCCCTGGCTGAGGGTGGTCCCAGCATCCTAATGACGTAGGACAGTTCCTTAGGGCCTGAGCCGGGCCTGTCTCAGGGTGCCCCATTCTGGGACTGGGGGGCAGGTGGGGCTTGGGGGCTCCTGTCACCCTATCCAGCTGCCATTGCCAAATGGGCATGGAAAGCACGCCCATGACACCCAAAGGCTCAGCCACAGCCCACCAATTGCTGCGCCCCGTACACACCCAGGGCACACTCACACTCTGAGTTCTCAGGAACCTGCACTCAAGTGCATTCATGCCCCCACCCACCGCTACACTCTCTCCCTGTCCACCGTCCCTGACTGCTCTGTGTCCTTGCAGGTTTGGGGACGACATTCCAGGAATGGAAGGCCTGGGAACAGGTATGACAGCTTCTGTCTGGGGTCCATGCAGGTGCCCCTACTCACCCACCCACCAGTGAGTCCAGCCCCCCAGCCCCCCTGCCTCAGGCCAAGGCTCACTTAGGCTACCACCCCCCACCCCCAGCTTGTCCTTCATTTTCTTCCCCAACGTCAAGACCCTACTGAAGCGGGGGTTGTTCCCACTGAGCAGGTTTGCCAGGCGCTTGGAGAGGGGTCCTTGCTGTTGCCCTTCCCCCTTTCTTCTGGCCCGCTCTCTCGGGCCTGCTGCACCCATTCTCTTCCTGGATAGGGTGCCCACTTGACCCCCCTGAAGCTGGTGTGTCCTGGAAGGAGGGCTGTACACCTGGGACTTGTACCCGTACCATTTGGGAGGTGGACAACGGTACCAAGGGGACAGTGACCCCTGGGGCCCTCGTGAACCTCCTGTTCCCCTTCTCCTGCAGACATCACGGTCATCTGCCCGTGGGAGGCCTTCAACCACCTGGAGCTGCATGAGCTGGCTCAGTACGGCATCATCTAGCCTGGACCCGAGCCCAGGGTGCCAGGGCAGTCTCCACCGCTGCCCACTGAAACCCCTGCTCAGGATTCCTTTGAGGAGGCCCACCCTCCGAGGGTGTTCAGACTGCCCAGCTCATGTCTGGAGACCCTCCCAGGGCAGTTGCTCAGGCCCCCAGATGCACTTAACAGGAGCCCACCACCTCCCTGCAAGATACCCTCTCAGGCCAGTCAGGCCCTGCTTAACCTCTGGAGACCCTGGCCCAGACCCTCTCCTCTCGTGACTAGAAAGCCGGGGCAGGGCCTCCCAGGAGTCCCCCACACCCCGGTTCCCCGGCCTTAGGGGGTCCTGAAGGCACCAGCAAGGAAGTCAGACCTCTCAGAACTCATCACGCCTGCAGGAAGCTCATCCTTGACAACCTAGCTCACGCTTGCCGTCTCTGTTTTAAAATAAAATTAGTGTGTCTCTGCCTGCTCATCAGGAGTACTGTGAGCGGGGCAGGGCCCAGAGGCATGTGTGTCTTCAGCTGGAGTGTATGGACGTAGGTGCAGGGTAGTGGGGACAGCAGAGGTCTGGCCAGTCTGAGAGGGAAGGAAACCCATTGAGGGCTGAGCCTGGGCACCCCCATGGCTGGGGGCACAAGAGCAGGTAGGCCTGGGGGGTGGCAGGCAGCCCCATGTGCTCCCAGCAGTCAGAGCAGGCCTCGCCAAGGAGGTGGGGTCAGACAGGGCCCACAAACAGCTCACAGCAGGACTAAGGAATGTCTGCCCCACCTCACAGGTGAGGAAACAGGTGCAGAGAGATTGTGCAGTTCGCCCAGTGACCCAGCCAGCCCATCCTAGTGTCCACTCATGCTGGACAAGCACCCACCTGCGGTCTGGCAATCCACTCCTGACACCACAGCCAGGAGAGCAGGAGCGCCGCCTTCCCCCCCAGACCTGTTCAGACTGTCCTGAGCCGCAGTCAAGGCCCAGATGCCATTCACAGGTGTGTCCACATGAGCCAAGTGTCCTCAAGGGGCATGTTTGCACAGCAGTGATCAGTGATCGTCGGGAAGGCCTTCTGTGACCCCATTTATGTGAAAGTCAGAAAAGGCTATGCTAACCAAGGGTGGTGAATCGGAGCAGGGGTGACCGCAGGGAGGGGTCGAAGGGGCCTGGGGGCTGGGTCCTGAACTGGTGTGGGGCCGCAGGTGATTAGATAAGAACTCCTGACACAGCCCACTTAAGACTGGTGTGATTTACTGTACAAATGATACATCTCAGTAAGATTTACTTCCCCCTGAAAGAGCACTCTCAGGGGAGAGGCCTGGACCTCATCCTAAACCACCCCAACAGGCAGGGAAGTGGGAGGGCAGGTGCCAAGCTGTGCTGAGGACATGGGACCTCAGAAGTGGACCTCCTGGCAGGGGTCGGATATCAGCGTCGGAAGTGGACTGCATGGTGGGGGCTTGGAGGTGGAGACCTAGCAGCCGATGTCGTTCATGCCCCACCCCCATGCTTGTCTGCAGGTCAGTGTTGGCCCACTTTGGGCCACAACAGCGTTTGTGAGCTGCTGGCACAATGAGTGGTCCAGAGGCAAAGGCCAGCTGGGCCTGGGGAGTCACAGAATGATGAAAGAGACATCAGGCTAAGTCCTGGGGCAAGGGGACCCAGGGGAGTGGAGGCCCAGCAGGGGCCAGAGGCCAGGGTGTCGGAGGTGTGTGGTTACTCAGGCACCTTTCCTGGGGGGGAATGGGATGACCTGCAGCCCCAGATCCCACCCTGGTGCCCCAACTTTGTTCTCCCTACTGCACCACCAGGACCCCGAGGGCTTACCCACCCTAGCCCAAATATTCCTGTGTTGGAGTGGGCGACACAGCCACCTGCTCTGGGAAACACTATAAGCTGCACCCTCATTCAGGCCCAGGGCCCTGCAGCCCCCTGGTGGTTGACAGAGGCCCATCTTCCCAGGACAATGCAGCAGGAGTTGCAGCAAAGCCCTTGGGAGGGCATGGGTGGAGGTGGCCATGGGAAGGGCAGGGCCTACTGTTCTGGGACCCACCCGTGTGGGGTGTCTCCTACCCTCCTTCAGTCTTCCATGGCCACATGGATGCAGGGCACTCAGACATCCAAACATTTCACACTGAGATGTCTTGTGTGATGTTCTTACCAAACCCCTCAAAAGTGACCTTCTAAGTGTGCTGGCTCAGCCTTTATGGAATGGTTCCTGTGTGCCCACCTGGTCTTGGTTGCAGGGAGCAGAGATACACAAGGCCTAGCCTGGGCCCAGTGTGTTATATGTGTTTGTGTGCACACATGAGTGTGCAGATGTGAGTGCGTAAAGGAGCATGCACATACGAAGCGTGTGTACAACTGTGTATGTGTTTACACATGTGAACATGTGTACAAGTGGGTATGAAGTGTGGGTGTGTGTTCATGTGGGCACATGCACACGTGTGTACAGGTGAGCACATACATGTGAGCACTTTGTGCTCTGGCTGCAGGCTAACAGGACCCACTGCCCATCCTGGTAGGTGGCCATCCCACCCATGGCAGAATGACCAGGGCACCCTGGTAGTGGGTGATGGCCAAGTGCAGGGTGTGCCCCAGCTCTCCTGCTGTGGATCCCTGAGTGCCAACATGCAGGGCCTCCACATCGCCCTCTGGTATCAAGAAGGCAAGGATGTTCTGAAGAAGTGGCAGGCAGGTATCCTCACAGGGGACAGCTAGGCACCTGCCAGGCTCACTGCACTAGCTGCCAGCCTCTGCCCCACTGAACCCCACTGGGATGCCAGTGGGGAGTCACATTTTAGGGCTTAAGACAGCCTCTGCTTGTTGAGATGGACCATCTTTCTTCCTGAGCCCAGATTTTCAGCTTCAGTAGGTGAATTCCCTGTAGCTCTGCAGTGTGGCCAGGGCTGTCAGGGTGCTGGTCCCCCAGCACTGTGGGGCCCTGTGTGGGCCTCAGCCTGGCAGGTTCTGCAGCTGGTCCATCAGCACATCCAGGGGGTAAGACAGACCCTGGTGAACTGGTTCATGGCTACAGTCCTGGAAGACCCGCTGGTAACTAAATGCCAGTTCACCCGATTTTTTCACTGTAAAAATGCGAAACTATTCACCACTAGATAACATCCTTTCTGGTTTGAGGTCCCTGGGCTGCCCTAGCCCCTGAGCTTCTCTTCTCAGAGACAGGAAATTCAATGTGGTCACCACTGTGTCCTAGTGTTTGGAGGGACCCCAGCCATGCAGACAGAAGGTAGCTCATGCCTCTCTGACCCCAGGCCACCCTTTGCTCTCTCCCTGGCCTGGACGGCAGTAGGAAAGCAGGCTCAGAGCAGACCCCCACCCATCACCCAGTTCTACAAGCCCTGGGTGTGCACCTCCCCACACCTCCCTCATTCCATCTGAGATGCGAGTGTTTATGTGTGTCAAAGTTGTGGTGGGCTTGTGGGGCCCTCTGGAGGCTGCAGAGGGCAGAGGCTGCCAGGAGACCCTCTGCACCTGCTCTCATGGCAGAAGAAAGGGTGACCTCCTGGGAGACGCCACCTGCCCAGTCCCATCCCCAGCACAGTCCCCACCACCGCCCCTCCTCTTCTTTTGTTTGACATTTCAGTTCCAGCTTCTCTCCCGTTTTTTAACAATCATGGGCAAGGTCAGGTACGAATTTGCAGGGCCCAGAGCACAATAAAAATGTGGAGCCCCTTGTTAAAAATTAAGGATTTCAAGGCCGTGACGGCTGAGCGTGGAATCACACACGAGACTCTTCTGAGTGGCACGGGTCAGTGGCCGCGAAGCTGGCCCTGGTGGCATATTTCATGTGGCACATCCTGTGGAAAAGAAACATTGATCTGAAATGCGGTTAAACTCATTTATTTCTCTTACATTAGATGCAAGGGAAATACCTTTCTTTTGAACCATTTCCCTGTGACCAGGTGTATGGAATGACGTTTGCCCGGCGCCAACAACCCACGCCTGCTTGTGTTTCTCCCTGGACCTTCTGCGTCGCCAGGCCGCAAGGCGGAGCCCACGCCGTGCGAGGGGCGCCTCTGCGGGCGACGTGGGCGCCTCGAGCCAGGCCGGCCCAGGCCCGCCGTGCGCCTGCGCGGGCCGCCGGCACGGCCGGAACCCTCTTTCCGGGCTGCGCGGCCGAGGGAGCGCGTCGGGCGACGCACCGGACGTGGCGGCGACGGCGGCGGCGGCTGCGGCGGCGAAGCTGGAGCGGCGGTGGCGGCGGCGGCGGGAGGCCGGGGCTGAGGCTGGGGCTGCGAGGCCCGCGGGGCGGCAGGCGGCGGCGGCGGCGGCCCGGAGCCCGAGCCCGGAGGCGGGGTCGGCCGCTATGGCCGAGAGCATCGTGAGTGGGGGCCGGGCGAGAGCGGCGCCGGCATGAGGCGGCAGATTTCCCGGCGCGGCCCGGCCGCCGCCTCCCCGGCCCCCTCCCTTCCGCCTTCGCCTCGCTTGGCCGCACCGCTTGGCGGCCTGGGCTCCGCCGGGCGGGGGGCTCCGCCGCGGGGCCTTGCCGGGCGCTGGCGGAGGGGTCCGAGCCCTTGGGGCCGGGGTGCGGCCTTGCTCGCCTCCTGTCTCTCCTTCCTGCGCCCTCATCCGCCCCAGCGAGCGCCTTGTCACCGCCACCGAAGGGAGGGCCCCGGGGGCAGCTGGGGCCCCGGCAGGGCCCCTCCTCGCGAGCCGAAGCCGCGGGGCACAGGCGCCCGACGCGTTCTGCCGCGCGGGGGCGGGGAAAGCTGACAGCCGCCTGCCCAGAAAGGAGCATTACAGAGGCCGAGTTCACTTTTTGTCCGAAATTAGGAATTGGCATTTCCTCTTCCCCCCGAAAGTTGGAAAAAAAGTCAGTCGTGTGTTAACTTGTGGAAAGTTTCCCCCAGAAAGTGTGTCTGGGAAAAAAAAACCCCAAAACCAACAGAGCGGTCGGACAGACACATTTTGGTTAAGTGAAGGAATATTTGGGATTTCCCTGGGGAAGCAAAGCAGGATTGAGCGGCAAGCTGTGTTCAGGCTTTCGCCTGTGGCGGCCTCTGCGGTCTGGCCAGGCGGCAGGAATGGCGTTGTACCCCTTCCTGAATGACTTGGGGCTGCGGGAGGCCAGCTCCCAGGGAAGCCTTGCCTCTAATCCCTCCCCTCCCTTGCTCTCCGTTCAGGGGCTCTGTTGAATGCAGAGGGGCCATGTTGAAACGGCAGAGATAAACTCCTTTTAAAATAGGATTTACTAATCATTGGGGACTTACAGAAAAAGGTTAAGTATTAGCCCTCGAAATCTGCTTTCAAACTTTCCCTTTACTGTAATACTAATTGAATTCAAGTATCCAGGGACAAGCGGGTTGTTGCAGACGAGGCCATTTTTCTGCTAATGTATATAAAGGCAAGGCTCTCATTGACAGCATTGGGTCTTGTTGAATTACTTAGATTGCGGTGAATTGAAACAGACCCTTTTCTAAAATTGACTTCAAAAGTTTGCTGTTCTCTTTTAATGCAGAAGGAGGTCTTCTAAAAAATCGTGGATATAAATATGATTTTTATCTCATATTTCTTTGACTCCCCCAAGAAGTGTTGTTGTAAGTAGGGAGACCTAAGTTACCAAGAGACTGTGTGTCCATGTTGCCAGGGGTCTCGTGTGTGCTTTACTTTGTAGCCTGTTGTTGGAGGCCAAGCCAGATCTTCCCTCTATACAAGTTAGGCTTGTCTCTTGGGGCTTCAATACTGGGCTGAGCTTGGAAACCCGGACTGCCATGGCCTTTTGTAGATGATCAAGTAGAATGACTTCTTAGGTTTTAGAACTCCCCGAAATGTGTAAGCCTCACCTTTCAGCTCCTCAAGGAGTGGGGTGTCATGCTTTTGACTGGCTAAATGAATGGTTGCAGAATCTCCCACAGAGAGACAGAGCTCTTCACCTCTTAGTGCTTCTCAGTGTTGGGAGACAGACTGCAGTTACAAACAAATGGAAATATCTGCCTGATACCCTTGCTGCATATTATGAAACCAGTTTTCTAGGTGTTGAACCCGGAGCAAAGTATACTGGAAATCAGAAGTCAACAGAATGTGTGTTTGCGCTCCAGACAGATGAGTGAGAAGGTTAAACAGATGTAGTTAAAAAGCAGAAAGGTAGGACATATTTGTGGTCTGAACAATTGGGATTTCATAAGATGTTTATTTGAAACAGAATCTTAAAAATTGAGAACAATACGGGGACAAAGTCTCTTGAGTCAAGTAACAATTCTTAGGAAAAGAGGCAGACTCAAGCTGCTTGAGGAAATTCTAGATTGTTCTGAATTTGATAAAAGTAGACAGTAGCTCTAAAGCCTTTGTGGCATTTTTGTTGTGTGTAAGTGAAAATCGTGTTTTTAAAAACAACAGCTTGTGACATTTTTTCATCTGTATCGTGTTTTGAATGTAACGCACAGTGTAGTGGTTGCTGATGAGAAACTGCTGCGTGAGTACCTTCCGGCGTGACGTTGTCGGTCTTTCCTCCCATCCCCTGGGCGGTTGGAGCATCGTCTGTCCCGTTTGCAGCAGGCATGCCGCTTCATGTTCGCTCACTAAAGCGGGAACTTGTACGTTGGCCAGGCTAGTAACCCACCTTCAAAAGGGCTCTGATGAGCATAAAAACCAAGTCCTAGAAAGTGGCGCTTTCTACCCAGTAGCCTTTCAGGGCTGCTGACCAGGCTTGCCATGAAAGTATTTTTTAAAATCCTGTGCTGAGGCTTATCAGAGTATTAAACTCCTTTATTTTCTTTTGATCTTTTTATTAAAAGTAGATAAAAAATTAAAAGATATCCTATGATTCAGGGTGGGGATTTTTCTTGCTATTTCTTTTTTTTTGGTAAATATGAAGAGAAACGTGTTAGTATTTCAGATATATATACTCTGTAAATAGTGGTTAAAAACTGAAGTTGCATTTTATGAGCGAGATGATAGCTGAGAATCAGAGCAGTAGTCTTAGGATGTGTTGGTGGGCCTCACACCTCTGCTTCATCTTTCACAAACATCGGGTTGGGTATTGCAAGGGGAAGGGAGGGCGAGGTCTGGCTTTACATTTCAGTGACCCAGATGCTGAAAGAGTGCAGATTTTAGTCTCAGTAATAGATCAGGATCAAACCCATTTGTGTAACCATCTTGTTTCATTTACAACAGATAATTCGAGTCCAGTCCCCAGATGGGATAAAGCGGATCACAGCAACAAAGAGAGAAACTGCTGCAACATTTCTGAAAAAGGTAGCTGTGGCGGGTATTCACCTTTCAGGATCTTCTTTATCCTACCTGTTACTCCCGTCCCATCCTCTGCCTTTCTCTCTGCCTCACTTCCTGATTCTGCCCACCCTGCACATTGCTTTTCTCTGGCATGATTGGTTGGATTGATAGTGGGGTTTGTGTCACAGCGAGCACTGCTTACAATTGTAGTTCTGACTTTATTTGCTCAGGAAGCGTTCCTGAAATCCTAGGATTTCCCTCTGGGTAGTTTGTTGTCTCCTTGCATAGGGAAACAGAACCGAGAGCTGGTCAGTTGGAAGTGGTTGGAGTCGGAGAGAGAGAGTTTAGTTTTGACTGCCTGACCAGCGGCACAATAGATATCTCTTAGGAGAAATTTTCTTGGGAATACTCAAAAGCAAACATATTTATTTCTCTGAAATATGTTTCCCAGCAAATGAAAATCCTTTCCTCTGTTTATTAAAATACTATGGGTCAATTATAAAAAGTTCCAACAATACAGAAAAGGATAAAGAAGCAAGTAAGAATCACTTGAAATTCTACCACCCGGAAATAACTGTCAGCATAGCACATACACACGCATTCCAGCAGACATGCCTGTGAATACACTTAGTAAAATGGAATTGGACTGTACTATCGCTGTACTTCATCAAATCTAAGACATTATTGAGTTTAAGGAGAAACATTCATACTACTAAGAAAAGATGCTGTCACGCTTGCTTTCCCTTGTCATTTAGATTTTAATTACATAAAATGCTTTTTAGATTTACTTGGAAATAATTTTAGTTGTGTATTACTTGTAGGCGTGCATAAAAATAAAAAGCTAAGTGAAATCAATTGGGTAGGATTGCCCTGTGATGTCACACTCTGAGTCTAGCCCTTCTGAACTGTTTTTGGCTCAGCTGTCAGTGTCTGTTTTACTGCAGAAGGTCATCATCTGCTCTCAGGAGGGTCAGTGGGCCAGCTGCTGACACCTGTGCTTGGGGCTGGAATTCTGTCTGTCTTACCAGACCAGCTTAGCAACTGGGATTCGTATTCTTTCCCTGATTGATCATTAAATGGCTTATTGGATAGAAATGCTGACAGATGAGAGTTGCCCAGCCATGCCACCTGGGTGGCAAGTAGATATATGCCCAGGCGGTGACCCATATGGCAGTCCTGTTGTCCTGCAGGCAAGAACTGTAAGCTCGTCAGACGCATCCATTCCAAAGATGTCAAAATCTTATTTGATAATTTTTAAGACACTTTTTTTCACTTAATAGATTGTGGACATGGTTCTATGTCAATAAATGTAGGTTTACATCTTTTTTAAAATTGTGGCAAGAAATAACACATAAAATTTGCTATCTGAATCATTTTTAAGTGTACAGTTCGGTAGTGGCTGAGTACACTCATGTTGTGCAGCCATGATCCATCTCCAGGAATTTTTTTGTCCTGTAAACCTGAAATTATACCCATTCACAGCAGCTCCCCTTTCCCTTGCACCCCCCCACCCCCCGGTATTTACTGTCCTACTTTCTGTCTCTATGACCTAGGCTCCTCATGTAAGTGGAATCACACTCATTTTTAACAGCTACTAATTTGGCTGTGCATATGTGCTCAGTAAGTGGGTTTTGAGAGGGCCTTCTTGTCTCCTCACAAACGTGCCTGAAAACTGTGTCAGCTGTTCTGCACTTGCTGGCCCCACACTTGGTAGCCTCAATCCTGGTTTAGTGTGTGGCCTTGTGCCCTCTAAGGAAATGGATGTTTGTAAGTGTGATGAGATGTTTTATGCTGACAGTGTCTCACAGAATCTTAAGAGTTCTTGGTTCGTTAGGGACCATCTAATGCTTTACATTCAAAAGTTCTCTCTCTGAATCATCAGACCACAGACCTTCTGGGACATGTTCTTCTGTGCCCACCAGTGCCCCTCGTCGCCTCCGTACTGAGCTTGCTCTGTTGGGTTTCTGTTGTTGCCCCCCTGAAATGGTCCTTAGTGAGTCATCCCAGGTCCTACCTGCTCCAGTAGTGGGCGGTTCTGTCCTGTCTTAACTGGCCTCTGAGCAGCACGTGACAGGGTCCCATCTTAGAATACTTAAACTTTTTTTTTAACCTTGAAATAAGGTATATACTAAGAAGTGCTTGAAAACATAGACAAATGAGTGATGACGGGCAGACATCCAGGTCAAAGTGGGGGCAGGGCCGGCACTGCAGAGGCCCCGCCCTCCTGATGAGACTCCCACTGCTTCTCCCTCCTGTGTTTTGCCACCTCAGTATGCATTTCTCAGCCCTAAATTTTAGTTTCACCTGTTTTTCTGAACTTAACACAAATGGAATCATGGCACATACTCCTTTTTGATCCTTCAATTATAAATGTTTGTATTCTATAACATGTTTCTTATTTTATAGCATTAATTACACATCAGAATTACCTCAGATGTAAATACAAAGTTTTTAAGATTTTAATCATGTTCTTATGAGACTCTGCTAAAATTTCTTTTTTAAATGTCCAGGGCCTTGTGTTAGGTTTCTGTATCTTTAGATAAAAAACTCACAAAGTTCACAGAAGCAGTTACTTTTTTTTTTTTTTTTTTAATTAAGGTGTCATTGATATACACTCTCATGAAGTTTTCATATGAAAAACAATGTGGTTACTACATTTACCCATATTATCAAGTCTCTCCCATACCCCATTGAAATCACTGTCCATCAGTGTAGTAAGATGCCACAGAGTCACTGGTCTTCTCTGTGCTACACTGTCTTCTCTGTGACCTCCCGACACCATGTGTACTACTCATAATACCCCTCAATCCCCTTCTCCTTCCCCCACCCCTCCCCTTTGGTAACCTCTAGTCCCTTCTTGGAGTCTGTGAGTCTGCTGCTATTTTCTTCCTTCAGTTTTGCTTCGTTGTTAGACTCCGCAAGTGAGGAAAACCATTTGGTTCTTGTCTTTCTCCACCTGGTTTATTTCACTGAGCATAATACCCTCCAGCTCCATCCATGTTGTTGCAAATGGTAGGATTTGTTTCTTTCTTATGGCTGAATAATATTCCATTGTGTATATGTACCACATCTCCTTTATCCATTCATCTGCTGATGGACACTTAGGTTGCTTCCATATCTTGGCTATTGTAAATAGTGCTGCAGTAAACATGGGGGTGCATATGTCTTTTCAAATCTGAGATCTTGGTTCCTTTGGGTAAATTCCTAGGAGTGTAATTCCTGGGTCAAATGGTATTTCTACTTGTAGTTTTTTGAAGAATCTCCCTATTGCTTTCTACAATGTTTGAAACTAATTTACACTCCCACCAGCAGTGTAGGAGGGTTCCCCTTTCTCTGCATTCTCTCCAGCATTTGTTGTTCCTAGTCTTTTTGATGTTGGCCATCCTAACTGCTGTGAGGTGGTATCTTACTGTGGTTTTAATTTGCATTTCCCTGATAATTAGCGATGTGGAGCATCTTTTCATGTGCCTGTTGGCCATCTGAATTTCTTCTTTCGAGAACTGTCTGTTCATATCCTCTGCCCATTTTTTAATCAGGTTATTTGCTTTTTGGGTCTTCAGGCTTGTGAATTCTTTATATATTTTGGATGTTAATCCCTTGTCAGATATGTCATTTACAAATATATTCTCCCATACTGCAGGATGCCTTTTTGTTCTGCAGATGGTGTCCTTTGCTGTACAGAAGTTTTTTAGCTTGATGTAGTCCCATTTGTTCATTTTTGCATTTGTTTCCCTTGCCCGAGGAGATGGGTTTATATTCAAGAGATTTTTGCCTATGTTTTCTTCTAAGAATTTTCTGGTTTCATGACTTAGATTCAGGTCTTTGATCCATTTCGAGTTTACTTTTGTGTATGGGGTTAGACAATTACCCACTTTCATTATTTTACATGTAGCTGTCCAGTTTTTCCAACTCCAATTGTTGAAGAGGCTGTCATTTCCCCACTGTATATCTGTGGCTCCTTTGTCATATATTAATTGGCCATATATGCTTGGGCTTATATCTGTACTCTCTGTTCTGTTCCATTGATCTATGGGTCTGTTCTTGTGCCAGCACCAAATTGGCTTGATTATATGGCTTTGTAGTAGAGCTTGAAGTCGGGGAGTGTAATCCCCCCAGCTTTATTATTCCGTCTCAGGATTGCTTTGGCTATAGAAGCAGTTACTTTCATAGGAGGACCATGAGAAAACCCAATACATAAGTTCATGCATTTCCAAAAGTGGGATTCAACTTGTGTGCAGTACTGTTGCTGGTTCTCATATTTGAAAATGCACCTGCGTCTTAGTCCTAATAGGAAGCATGAAGCTCTGGTCGTGTGGTCTTAGGGGATTTACCTTTACTTGAAGGGCTATACCACACCCCGTACCCCATTGTGGAAATTCCTTTTCATCCCAGGAGTATTGTGGTAACTTTGATGCAGCTAATAATACTCCTGGTAAGAGATTATAGTTTACAGTGCTTGTCTACAGAAAAACATCATGTTTTTGCAGAATAGGTGAAGTACCACAATTCCTTAATTTCAGTTTCTATTCTAGCTGTTTCAGAGAAAAGTCAAAAGTAGTATTTTTAGTCTTTAGTCTTACTCTTTTTGCACTTGGGAAATTTTATGGTCTTAATTTCCCACTGCTTTATTTTCTTAATGCCACTTTTAGCTTGGAAAAAAAATCGTATGATACCAAATACTTACTATAGCACATCTGATATAAAATCTTGACTGTTTAAAGTCCTTTTTACTATCACTCAAAATTTTAGAATGATAGGGTGCTCTGAAGTTACTTTTAATCTGTTTTTTTAATTAGTAGAAAATAAGGTTAGTCTGCAAAGTTAATCATTAAATTTATTCTTTTCTTCTGATAGTGAACAAATACTAGGCTTTACCAATAATTCTGTCATAGGAAAAAAGCAACAGGTAGAACAAGGTATATACTGAGGCGGCCCTTCAGTCGCCCCAGGGAGCCTCATGCCTTCAGGCCAATCTCATCCCTGACCTGCATGTTTAGAGCTCGTCTCTTCCGAGTGCCTCACTTACTTCCAGCCTTTCCTCTGGCCTGAGTGTCTGTCGGGTGTCGTTCTTCTCCAGCCTCAAGAGCGTCTGCTGGCATCCCTGTGGTGGGTGAGGCCTGCTGATAGCAGACGTGCCAGGTGGAGGCCTGCTGGCCTGAAAATGTTTTCATTTCACCCTTGTATTTGAAGGGTATTTTTGCCAGATACAGAATTTTGAGCTGACAGATTATTTTTTCTTCTTTATTTTTATTTTATTTATTTATATTTTTTTTATTTTTGTATCATTAATATACACTTACATGAGCAACAGTGTGGTTACTAGATTCCCCCCATTATCAAGTCCCCACCACACACCCCATTACAGTCACTGTCCATCAGCTTAGTAAGATGCTATAGAGTCACTACTTGTCTTCTGTGTGTTGTACGCCCCTCCCCGTGCCCCCCCACATTATGTGTGCTAATCGTAATGCCCCTTTTCCCCCCTTGTCCCTCCCTTCCCACCCTCCTCCCCAGTCCCTTTCCCTTTGGTAACTGTTAGTTCATTCTTGGGTTCTGTGATTCTGCTGCTGTTTTGCTCCTTCAGTTTTTTTTCTTTGTTCTTATGCTCCACAGATGAGTGAAATCATTTGGTACTTGTCTTTCTCCATCTTCTTTAGCACTTTAAAGATGTCACTCCCCTGGTCCTGGAGCCGCTTGACGATGGTGCCAGGGGTAGTTCTCTTTTTGCTTATCCTAGTTTGGGTTTACTGAACTTTCTGGATTTTTTACCCTGTGTTTTTCATAAAATTTGAGGATGTTGTCTGTTCTCCAAGTATTGTTCAGTCCTAGCCTTATTCTCTTCTCCTGAGGGTCATTTGATACTGTCCCAGGGATTCCTAAGACTGTTCATTTTTCTTTCAAATCTGTTTTCAGATTAAGTAGTTTCTGTTAGCCACTCTTTAGCTTAAATGACTCTTTCTTCGGTCATCTCCCTTTTGCTGATAAGCCCATCCAGTGAATTTTCCATTTCAGTTATTGGATTTTTCAGTTGTACAATTTCCATTGATTCTATTTTATCATTTCTGGTTTCTCTGCCAGGATCCTGTGTTTCTTCATTTGTTTAACTCTACCCTGACAACCCCTAAATGTTGAGCTCTAGCTTGGATCCCTCTTCTGGCCTCAGATTCAAATACTAACCGCTTGTCTTTGCCCCCACTAGGGTGTCCAGGAGTCACCTCAGATCTCAGCAATAAATGGAAGGCCTGATTTTCCCTTCAGCCTTCTTCCTCCTTCAGCCTCTTCCGTGGTTCCCTCACAGGTGTCATCTTCCACCCGGTTCTCAAGCCAGAAATCTGAACATCGTCCGATGTCCTTCTTTTTCCTCACCCATCCTGCCCCTCATCCTGCCCCCTAGCAGGGGCTGTTGATTATGGTCACCGGAAGGCATGCCCCTCCCTCTGTCTCCACTATCCTGGCCTTGTCTGAGCCCCATCTCCTCTGGGTGGGACGGCTGGCTCTCCCGATTCCTCTTCCCAGCAGCAGAATGGCAATGAGAAATAAGATCAGTGGCTTAGCAACCCCCTGCCCTCAGCCCCCGTGGCTTCCCAGCTCCTCAGGGCCATGTGGTCCTGCGTGCCGCTCCTGCTCCCTGCCATTCTCGTCTCATACTGTTGCTACCTGCCCATGGGGCTTCAGCCTCACTGGGCTCTGCCCAGCCCCTTCCTGCCTCCCAGCTGTGGAACTTGCTCCCCCTGCTTGCGTTGTTCCTGGCCCAGCTCTGTGCAGCAGCCTTGCTCTCCTCCAGGCTCTTGCTCGGGCTTGCTCCCCACCTTCTCTGCCCTTCCCAGGAGTGGCCTCTCCCACGCTCCCTCTTCTCCTGCTATGATGCTGCTCTCAACCTGTGGTTTTGTCTCTGTTGACTTGTCTCCCCCGTCAGATGGTAAGATCCTCCACGGCATGACCTTGCCTGTTTTTGTTCGCCGTTTGTGTTCTGGGTGCCCTGTGGAGCGGCACACGGGCCCGCTGGTTTGTCACTGGGTGAGTGGGTTTCCCCACACCCACACCCACACAGCACGTAGGTATCACTTATGTAGAGGCGTCATTCTGCCCTTCGTTCTGTTTCTGTTACGTTTCAAAATTGGTTGGGTTTTTACAGTTGATTTCAAAAGTAGAACTTAAAGTTTCCAGAAATGACCATGACTCTTGCTTGCTTCAAATTCTTAAATGTGTAGTCAGGCTTATTTGCACAGGGCTTTGCTTCCTTTTGGCCACTTTTCTCATTTTACTTGGCAGCTGTGTAAATGATACAGATTTCCTCACAAGACAGCAAATTAAGAGAAATATGGTTAATGAAGTTTTAAATTTAATGAGTGTTCTTCTAATCTTGTCTGATATACATGTGGTTAGCATAGTGATGCTTTGATACTTTAATCTCTGTTTTTGGGGGCTTGTTTTAGGTTGCAAAGGAGTTTGGCTTCCAGAATAATGGCTTCTCAGTTTACATCAATAGAAATAAGACGGGAGAGATAACAGCATCGTCTAACAAATCCCTCAATCTGCTAAAAATCAAGTAAGTGCCCAGTTGGGGGAAGGAGTGGGAAGGAAATGACGCCAGTTGCCCACCTGGGGTGGCCCAGTGTGCCTGTTTCCCCCGCCCCACACTAACTGGTCCTATGCACTCACCAGAGTGCAGGTGGCTGTATCTCCTGCCAGGCGTTGAGCAGTTCCTGAATCCACAGTTACGTTGTGCTGGTTGATTGACTTGCAGAGTTCTGAGATGGGTGTCACAGAGAGTCACGGTCTTGGGGGTGCTGCACACTTGGCTGCTGGTCTACAGGAAGACCTTGATGCAGCCCTGTGGAGTTCCGCCGTGGGGCTGCCTGGTGGTGGGAGGGTGGCAGTGCAGCAGCCCAGTGCCCATACCCTGTTTCTTGCTGGTGAGAACCCCTTGGGCTCCTTAGAGGTGATCAGTAATGTCAGGAGGGTGTCCAGCGTGTAGAAACCTCCTGCACAGTCTGCCGTGCCGCCTGTTGTTTAATTGGAGCACAGCCATGGCCACCGGTTCACGTTTTCATGCTACAAGGGCAGAGCTGAGTGCTCATGACAGACTGAATGGCTTGCAAAGCCAAAAATTTTACCATTTCGCATTATACAGAGAAAACTTGCTGACTGCTGTTTAAACTGGATGTGCCTGCTCACGCATCTGGGAGAGGAACCCAATGTCGCTTAGTCCTCATAGCAGGCTGGCGGCCCTCCGGTCGGGCTGCATGCAGCATGGTTGCTGTGGTCACTGGCTACGTGGCTGGGCTGGGCTTTGCTGGCAGCTGGCTGGGTGCCTGTTTGTTTACCAGTCAGAGTAGGAGGCTGGTTGGCATGGTCAGTTTTAGGTTCAGAAATCGGTATATCTAAGAAAAAAATGCAGTTGCAGCATTCGTTTATTTGTTCTTCATCAAGTTCTTGTAAGGCACCTGCTGTTTGCCTGCTCTGTGACCAAAGAAAGCTTTTCATTGTTGTCATGTCCATTTCCAGTGTGGCTGATAGTGACCTTTCCTCCCTGCTGATATTATCAAGGCTCTCGCAGCTTGAGATCACTTCTCGTGAGTGTTGTACAGGTCTGGATTCAAGTGTGCCACCTGATGGCTGCGTGCCTGGGGGAGCCCCTTAACCCCCCGGCCTCACCGCCCTTGCCTGCAGGGGTGCGCAGGGGGGCCTTTGCATGGTTGCCCAGCACATGCACATGGCGACCCCTGACGGGACGACAGCTCTGTTCAAAACCTGTTCTGATAGCCGGGCACAAGAAGGGGGGCTACAGAACGAAACACCTTTGGGACAAGGGCATCAAGCTGCAGTGTTGCCCCTCCAGTGCCGTACCAGGGGAGAGGGCTGGCTCCTCAGCAGGGGAGGCGGCACCTGGAGTGGATGTCTTCCCGAGTCACGCTAGAGAGTGTCCTTCCGATGAGAGTCTCGGTGATTCCCGAACAGGCCTTGAGAGCTGCCCGAAACCTGTCTGTTCAGCCGTGTCTGAGACCATCTGAGTGGTGGTCACCCTTCTGCAGCCTGTGTTGGCTTCACTGCACTAGCTCCTGGCTTCTGCCGTCCTGGTTCGGTCCATTACGATTCTCTTGCTCATTTGCTAGTGGTTTGTTTCCTGTTCTGGATGCTTTTAAGACCTTCTGTGTATCCTAGGATCCCACAGTTTGTGCCTGACCTGTCCAGGTGTGGGTTCTTGGTTTCTTTAATCCTGCCTCGTGTATGTTGTATTTCTGTATCTGTAGCTCTGGCCTGGAAAATTCTTGGCCATTATCTCTTTAAACATTACCTTTCCCTGGCAGTGTACGCAGAGAAGACAGGTAATGATTCTATAGGTCTTGCTGCACTGATGGACAGTGACTGTAATGGGGTATGTGGGGGGGACTTGATTTTAGGGCGAGTCTACTGACCATAATGTTGTTCAAGCAATAGTACATGAACGACACCAAAATAAAAAAAAGACAAAAAACAAAACAAAACAAAAAAAGATTACCTCTCCCCAAATCTTGTTATTTCAGTGATTACATTTTCACTCTCAAATACTCTGTTTGACTCCACCTCAGACCCAGCCGCTAGCTTCACGGGCTCATAGGGACCACGTGGGTTCAGGCCCCTTCCTAGTGTCTGCTCTTCTCTCACACATTCTTGGGTTCTGTGATTCTGCTGCTGTTTTGCTCCTTCAGTTTTTTTTCTTTGTTCTTATGCTCCACAGATGAGTGAAATCATTTGGTACTTGTCTTTCTCCATCTTCTTTAGCACTTTAAAGATGTCACTCCCCTGGTCCTGGAGCCGCTTGACGATGGTGCCAGGGGTAGTTCTCTTTTTGCTTATCCTAGTTTGGGTTTACTGAACTTTCTGGATTTTTTACCCTGTGTTTTTCATAAAATTTGAGGATGTTGTCTGTTCTCCAAGTATTGTTCAGTCCTAGCCTTATTCTCTTCTCCTGAGGGTCATTTGATACTGTCCCAGGGATTCCTAAGACTGTTCATTTTTCTTTCAAATCTGTTTTCAGATTAAGTAGTTTCTGTTAGCCACTCTTTAGCTTAAATGACTCTTTCTTCGGTCATCTCCCTTTTGCTGATAAGCCCATCCAGTGAATTTTCCATTTCAGTTATTGGATTTTTCAGTTGTACAATTTCCATTGATTCTATTTTATCATTTCTGGTTTCTCTGCCAGGATCCTGTGTTTCTTCATTTGTTTAACTCTACCCTGACAACCCCTAAATGTTGAGCTCTAGCTTGGATCCCTCTTCTGGCCTCAGATTCAAATACTAACCGCTTGTCTTTGCCCCCACTAGGGTGTCCAGGAGTCACCTCAGATCTCAGCAATAAATGGAAGGCCTGATTTTCCCTTCAGCCTTCTTCCTCCTTCAGCCTCTTCCGTGGTTCCCTCACAGGTGTCATCTTCCACCCGGTTCTCAAGCCAGAAATCTGAACATCGTCCGATGTCCTTCTTTTTCCTCACCCATCCTGCCCCTCATCCTGCCCCCTAGCAGGGGCTGTTGATTATGGTCACCGGAAGGCATGCCCCTCCCTCTGTCTCCACTATCCTGGCCTTGTCTGAGCCCCATCTCCTCTGGGTGGGACGGCTGGCTCTCCCGATTCCTCTTCCCAGCAGCAGAATGGCAATGAGAAATAAGATCAGTGGCTTAGCAACCCCCTGCCCTCAGCCCCCGTGGCTTCCCAGCTCCTCAGGGCCATGTGGTCCTGCGTGCCGCTCCTGCTCCCTGCCATTCTCGTCTCATACTGTTGCTACCTGCCCATGGGGCTTCAGCCTCACTGGGCTCTGCCCAGCCCCTTCCTGCCTCCCAGCTGTGGAACTTGCTCCCCCTGCTTGCGTTGTTCCTGGCCCAGCTCTGTGCAGCAGCCTTGCTCTCCTCCAGGCTCTTGCTCGGGCTTGCTCCCCACCTTCTCTGCCCTTCCCAGGAGTGGCCTCTCCCACGCTCCCTCTTCTCCTGCTATGATGCTGCTCTCAACCTGTGGTTTTGTCTCTGTTGACTTGTCTCCCCCGTCAGATGGTAAGATCCTCCACGGCATGACCTTGCCTGTTTTTGTTCGCCGTTTGTGTTCTGGGTGCCCTGTGGAGCGGCACACGGGCCCGCTGGTTTGTCACTGGGTGAGTGGGTTTCCCCACACCCACACCCACACAGCACGTAGGTATCACTTATGTAGAGGCGTCATTCTGCCCTTCGTTCTGTTTCTGTTACGTTTCAAAATTGGTTGGGTTTTTACAGTTGATTTCAAAAGTAGAACTTAAAGTTTCCAGAAATGACCATGACTCTTGCTTGCTTCAAATTCTTAAATGTGTAGTCAGGCTTATTTGCACAGGGCTTTGCTTCCTTTTGGCCACTTTTCTCATTTTACTTGGCAGCTGTGTAAATGATACAGATTTCCTCACAAGACAGCAAATTAAGAGAAATATGGTTAATGAAGTTTTAAATTTAATGAGTGTTCTTCTAATCTTGTCTGATATACATGTGGTTAGCATAGTGATGCTTTGATACTTTAATCTCTGTTTTTGGGGGCTTGTTTTAGGTTGCAAAGGAGTTTGGCTTCCAGAATAATGGCTTCTCAGTTTACATCAATAGAAATAAGACGGGAGAGATAACAGCATCGTCTAACAAATCCCTCAATCTGCTAAAAATCAAGTAAGTGCCCAGTTGGGGGAAGGAGTGGGAAGGAAATGACGCCAGTTGCCCACCTGGGGTGGCCCAGTGTGCCTGTTTCCCCCGCCCCACACTAACTGGTCCTATGCACTCACCAGAGTGCAGGTGGCTGTATCTCCTGCCAGGCGTTGAGCAGTTCCTGAATCCACAGTTACGTTGTGCTGGTTGATTGACTTGCAGAGTTCTGAGATGGGTGTCACAGAGAGTCACGGTCTTGGGGGTGCTGCACACTTGGCTGCTGGTCTACAGGAAGACCTTGATGCAGCCCTGTGGAGTTCCGCCGTGGGGCTGCCTGGTGGTGGGAGGGTGGCAGTGCAGCAGCCCAGTGCCCATACCCTGTTTCTTGCTGGTGAGAACCCCTTGGGCTCCTTAGAGGTGATCAGTAATGTCAGGAGGGTGTCCAGCGTGTAGAAACCTCCTGCACAGTCTGCCGTGCCGCCTGTTGTTTAATTGGAGCACAGCCATGGCCACCGGTTCACGTTTTCATGCTACAAGGGCAGAGCTGAGTGCTCATGACAGACTGAATGGCTTGCAAAGCCAAAAATTTTACCATTTCGCATTATACAGAGAAAACTTGCTGACTGCTGTTTAAACTGGATGTGCCTGCTCACGCATCTGGGAGAGGAACCCAATGTCGCTTAGTCCTCATAGCAGGCTGGCGGCCCTCCGGTCGGGCTGCATGCAGCATGGTTGCTGTGGTCACTGGCTACGTGGCTGGGCTGGGCTTTGCTGGCAGCTGGCTGGGTGCCTGTTTGTTTACCAGTCAGAGTAGGAGGCTGGTTGGCATGGTCAGTTTTAGGTTCAGAAATCGGTATATCTAAGAAAAAAATGCAGTTGCAGCATTCGTTTATTTGTTCTTCATCAAGTTCTTGTAAGGCACCTGCTGTTTGCCTGCTCTGTGACCAAAGAAAGCTTTTCATTGTTGTCATGTCCATTTCCAGTGTGGCTGATAGTGACCTTTCCTCCCTGCTGATATTATCAAGGCTCTCGCAGCTTGAGATCACTTCTCGTGAGTGTTGTACAGGTCTGGATTCAAGTGTGCCACCTGATGGCTGCGTGCCTGGGGGAGCCCCTTAACCCCCCGGCCTCACCGCCCTTGCCTGCAGGGGTGCGCAGGGGGGCCTTTGCATGGTTGCCCAGCACATGCACATGGCGACCCCTGACGGGACGACAGCTCTGTTCAAAACCTGTTCTGATAGCCGGGCACAAGAAGGGGGGCTACAGAACGAAACACCTTTGGGACAAGGGCATCAAGCTGCAGTGTTGCCCCTCCAGTGCCGTACCAGGGGAGAGGGCTGGCTCCTCAGCAGGGGAGGCGGCACCTGGAGTGGATGTCTTCCCGAGTCACGCTAGAGAGTGTCCTTCCGATGAGAGTCTCGGTGATTCCCGAACAGGCCTTGAGAGCTGCCCGAAACCTGTCTGTTCAGCCGTGTCTGAGACCATCTGAGTGGTGGTCACCCTTCTGCAGCCTGTGTTGGCTTCACTGCACTAGCTCCTGGCTTCTGCCGTCCTGGTTCGGTCCATTACGATTCTCTTGCTCATTTGCTAGTGGTTTGTTTCCTGTTCTGGATGCTTTTAAGACCTTCTGTGTATCCTAGGATCCCACAGTTTGTGCCTGACCTGTCCAGGTGTGGGTTCTTGGTTTCTTTAATCCTGCCTCGTGTATGTTGTATTTCTGTATCTGTAGCTCTGGCCTGGAAAATTCTTGGCCATTATCTCTTTAAACATTACCTTTCCCTGGCAGTGTACGCAGAGAAGACAGGTAATGATTCTATAGGTCTTGCTGCACTGATGGACAGTGACTGTAATGGGGTATGTGGGGGGGACTTGATTTTAGGGCGAGTCTACTGACCATAATGTTGTTCAAGCAATAGTACATGAACGACACCAAAATAAAAAAAAGACAAAAAACAAAACAAAACAAAAAAAGATTACCTCTCCCCAAATCTTGTTATTTCAGTGATTACATTTTCACTCTCAAATACTCTGTTTGACTCCACCTCAGACCCAGCCGCTAGCTTCACGGGCTCATAGGGACCACGTGGGTTCAGGCCCCTTCCTAGTGTCTGCTCTTCTCTCACGCTGGCCTGCCCAGCGTGCAGTGAAGGCCCTGGGTTCCTGCCACACGCATGCTGTTTCCTTCTCGGGTCTCCCGGTGTATTTGGGGCTCACGAGAACACTGCAGTGTCGTCCGTGCTATCTGGAGGTCTGATGTGTTGTCTGGCCCGCCTGTTTGAGGGGCATCTGAGAAGAGCCACTGAAGCTGTGGGCCCTGCCAGCCTGCTTCTCAGTGAGCCTGTCATTTCGGAAATTTTCTTTTTGCTTGTGCTTTTGCCATTCCATTTCATTTAACATTCCCTGTACGTTCATATTCCATATCTTGTTCTTCCAAATCTGAAGCCCTTGGCTGTCTAAATCTGACTGTTGCTGTAGCTGCCCACTCTTGCGCATGGTGGTTTATTTCTCTTGTACATTTAGTGACTGTTCTTTGAGGGCAAACTTCGCCAGGTTGGCCAAACTTGGTCTTGGGGAGTCCTGCAGGACTGTTCTATGGGGGAGGGTTCTGCTAGCACCAGAGGGTGCCATGGACCCAGCATGCCTTTGAGTTAATTTCTGTCTTTGGGCTTCCTGAACCAAGTAGCATCCCTAATTCTGGACGCATGCAGAGCAGGCCTTTGGTCCCAGATGAGCAGAGGTGACTCTTTCCCACTGTGCAGTGGGTGGAGGCTGATGGCATTCCTCCTTGGTTCCTGTCACAGCTGTTGACATCCTTCAGATGTGTGAAATATATGTGGTGTTTCAGGCTCAGCAGCCCACGTGGGCAAGAGGCTCAAGGTCTCCCCTCTTGTCCAAGAAACAGCTGTGTGAGCCCACCTCAGTTCCTGTAGTGGGCTAGCCAGAGGGCAGCTCTGAGCTTTGTGTGGCCTGTGTCTCCCCTACCCTCCTGTCTCAGCTGCTGTTGCTGTTTGGGACCCTGGGGGAGTTGCTTGCCTTCTTCACTGCTCCCCAGGGCATTTAGAGTGTCTGTTGAACTGAGGTAGCAGCTGAACCCAGTATCCTGTAGCTGTAGGGTGTTTAGGAACAGCTGGCCCACTGCCAGAAACAAAAGTCTTTTGTTAAAATCTAGCAATTTTGTCACCCCTAAATTTCAGAAGGAAAAAGCGTTGTGAGCATGTCTGCCAACAAGCTACAGCCAGTGTCCTGTGTCCTTACAGTTCGGCACTGTGACCTTTGGCTCCTCTTCTTTCGGTTTGTTGGTCACTGCAGCCACAGGCTGTTGCTTCGCTCTTTTTTGTGTGTGTCTGTACTGCTGGTAAGTATTCACCAGTGGCAGCGCTGCAGTGTCCTCCAGAGGTCCGGTGTTGATCTGTAGTGTTGCCGACATTCTCCGGTGGCGCAGGAGCCGCAGTGCTTCTGGGAACGGCTCCTGAGTAGAAGGGTGTGTCCAGCATCAGGGCGCAGCAGTTTGACTGTTAGTCAGCAGTGAGTGAGCAGGGGAAGAGTATAATTTACATGGAAAATGATGGAAAACCAGTTGTTGCTGTTTGAAACGTCACCTGTTGCAGGCTTTTTGGAAAGTGGTACGTCAGTGGCTTTAAAAACAAAAGCGCTTCAGTCTAACATGGCCACTCCCAGAACTCTGCCCTCTGGAAGTGAAACTCTATGCTGCCTGCCATTGAAACGGGCAGGTAGTACACCTGTCTGCCAGTGTGGGAGCTGCAGAAAGGTCAGGAGGGAATCTGCGTAGCCATGAGAAGTAACTGTGCAGGGGTTCCATTGGTGCTGTCGGATGGAGAAGCAGTGGAGAAGCGTGTCTTTGATTTCTCATTTTTGTTAAGCAGTGACATATGTCTATGTACACATGTGTGTGTGGGTAAACTTGAAGAGAATTGTGAGGAAGGTAATAGGTATATAAAATGCGGAAGGATAGATGGCTAAGGGACAAACGGGAACGTGGGAGCCAAGCAGAGTCAGAAGGAGGGACCACACTGCTTGCAGACAGCCCAGGCACGTGTGGTTTGCGTGTTCATCTGTGAAGTCGGACGGGCAAAGGGTATATCACGCTTTCTCCAATGCAGTAGTAAGAGAGACTACAGTTACAGAGAACCCGCAGTTGACCTTGAGACTGCTCAGGAGTGGGGGCGGTGGAGAGGGAATTCTGGTCTCTTACTGGAGAATTCTGGTCTCTGGAATTCTTGGCGACCTTGTGACCTAGGCTTCCAGGCTGGTTGGGTTTCCTTTTTGCAGCTGTCAGACATTCTCACCTCCAGGGTGAGCACAGCTCCGGTGCTGGAAGAAAGGACCGCAGGCCTCCAGGTATGTTTGTTATTTGAGCAGGCATGGCGATTTGTTGTTCCTGTTTCCCTCGAGCCTTGCTGGACCCTCGTCTGAAATGGAGACGTCTGCTCCCCCGGGGTTGAAGGCTTGTGGTGCTCCCAACGTGGTGGAAGATGAGATCGACCAGTACCTTAGCAGGCAGGATGGAAAGATCTACCGCAGCCGTGATCCGCAGCTGTAAGTGTTTCATGGGGTTGTGTCCCACTGGGGGCCTCTGTGGGTCTTAAGATGTAGTATTTGTAACATGTCCCTTTCAGTGGGTATCTTGAAATATAAGTGTTGATTTTGACCTATTTCAGTTTAATTTCACTTTGTTATTTTGTAAGCTTTTTCTTACTGTTGGAGTCTCAGAGTAGGTTCCACGTGTACGTTGAAAGTTTTCAAGTATTGGGAAATAAGAGAATTGGAAGAAGGGAGAGGCCTTGACCAAGTCTTCAGCACTCTGTCCTGAGCAGTACTCGATTGCCGCAGGGCTGACCAGGAGCCAGCAGCTGTGTGGGGTGGAGGGTGCCTAATGCGTGCTTGACCTCAGCACTATGCCTGCAGCACATGCTTCCTGTTTTCTGACCTGAACGCCCTTTGCTCATTCTGTTTTGAGCCCTCACTTCTTGCATGGGATTATATACATGCTTACGCTATATACACTTGTTTTAGATTTTTTGCAATTCTATTTGAAGAAGCCAGTTAGAAACACCTAAGTTTATCCTCGGTGATGTGAAATGACCTGAGTGAAGGTTGGTCATCTCTGCAGAGGACTCTCTTCTAACTGCATCACTTGGTGAACATAATGGGGATTCCAAAGACTGCATTAGCAATTGGTGTCTTAGATCAAAGGGCCCCAGGTGGTGCACAGCTGCAGGTGGCATGGGGCCACTTCGTAGCCAGAGCCATTAGCCTGCATGCCTCTTACTTACATTGGCATCCTGCCAGGGCACCAGCGCCAGCTCCCCCATGAGCTGTGTCCTCAAGGCTTCCTCAGGAATCTTGTAGTGCATGCCTGTGTGCGTGTGTACACATCATGACCTGTTACCTCTAAGAGCCTGCCTAATAGGAGACATAGGCCGCCTCTGTTCTGACACGTAGAGCTCACATGCATCTCAGAGTTCTGACCCCACTTAGAAAGTGATCTGATTAACCCTGGAGGAAACCAACGCTTGGCTTTCCCACCAACCCACCACTGCCCTCAACACCTGCGCACAGTCCACTGTCATAGTGTACATGTGCACATTTCACGTTTTCTCACTAAAATGACGGAAACCCACAGAGCCAGGCATTTTTTATGCCTTCTTCCAAAATGCACAAAGTGGGTGTTTTCCAGACTTGAGCTATGTATGTATCACTCTTAAGGTGTTTGCCATATCCATGTACCAACCTTCTTGGTATTTGACATTTTTATTTCAAATGACTTTAATCTGTTCACCTTTATTTTTAGTCAGTGTCATTTTAGCAGTTGATATCCATGAACCTCACAGGTTTGATGTGTTGGTCAGGTTTTTCTAATGTACATCCAAACCATTAAATTAAATTATTAAAAAATGTTTGTACTATCTAAAGTAATCACAGAAAAAAATCCCACTGGAAGTCCATTCTTGACTGTCAGTGGGGTAAGCAATGGACCTTTCTGAACTAGGAAATGAGTAGAGATTCATTGTGCTGAAATCCATCAGCCCGCTGTCAGTCTAGGTCAAGGACCATGGTCTCCTGTGGGGCACATTTGTACTCTGGTTAATGTGTAGATGTGGCAGTCGTTGACTCCCAGGTGCCATAGAAGCCTGCCATTGGCCAAGGAGGAGGGATTGAGTTTTGGGGTCGTTTTGTGATTGGGAAAACATGAGTAGGGAAATAACATGTGTTTATTTGTAATGTATGGTGTATGTTTTGTTAAGTATGGTGTATTTTGTACTTGTGGAGTTCAGTTATTTAGTATGGTGTACGCTTTAATATAAAAGATGTTGGGTAGCAGCAACAGAAAAACAGGCCTATTAATTGCTGTGTATGTCTTTGTTGTGTGCTCCCTCCCAGATGCCGACATGGCCCTTTGGGGAAGTGTGTGCACTGCGTTCCTCTAGAGGTGAGAGTCTCTGCGGGTGGAGTAAGTCCTGGGCGGGCGTGGCAGGCTGCTTCCCAGAGCCAGCTGGAGGTCCCTCTAGGTCCCTGCACTTGGTCATAGCGATTAAAAGAGCTGTCTGTTTATTGCCCTGGCCTCATAGTCCCTCTAGTGCAGGCTGCACAAAGGACGAGCCTTTGTTTACGGGAGTGACCTTCTGGGTGGATTATGAAAGGCTGAAGCACCTGTATGGCAGTGATAAAGGGGCAGCATTAGCAGTGGGCTCCCTGGATGGTCCTTTTAAACCCTGGCACAAAGCTGGACCTGGGGGTTTTTGCTTGTCATCATTTTGATTTACTTAGTCCTGAATCTCCTGCCTCCCCTGCTGATGTGGCCTGGTGAGATTGAGAGTCACCATAATAATGCTGACTGGTGACTTCTTAATGCTGAATCTGCGGCAACGAGGCCAGCCCGGTTTTTATGAGGTTCTTGCTTTGTCCTGCGCTTTTTTCCCCTGAAAATTTCCTGGTAGTTAACTTGACTTGGAGCATTTTGTATTTAATAGAGATTCATTACACTCTTGAGAGGTCACTGGTGCACACAGACTTGGTTCTGACCTGGAATGATCTGTGAGAGCCAGGCACCCATTCTCCTCTGTAGTTCTCCCCGGGGCCTGGTGGGAGCTCGGTCGCCCTGCCCCTGTGACAGTACTGACTGTGTGTTCTGGCAGCCGTTTGATGAGGACTACCTGAACCATCTTGAGCCTCCCGTGAAGCACATGTCCTTCCACGCCTACATCCGGAAGCTGACTGGAGGGGAGCCAGAGGGCAGCTCTGAGCTTTGTGTGGCCTGTGTCTCCCCTACCCTCCTGTCTCAGCTGCTGTTGCTGTTTGGGACCCTGGGGGAGTTGCTTGCCTTCTTCACTGCTCCCCAGGGCATTTAGAGTGTCTGTTGAACTGAGGTAGCAGCTGAACCCAGTATCCTGTAGCTGTAGGGTGTTTAGGAACAGCTGGCCCACTGCCAGAAACAAAAGTCTTTTGTTAAAATCTAGCAATTTTGTCACCCCTAAATTTCAGAAGGAAAAAGCGTTGTGAGCATGTCTGCCAACAAGCTACAGCCAGTGTCCTGTGTCCTTACAGTTCGGCACTGTGACCTTTGGCTCCTCTTCTTTCGGTTTGTTGGTCACTGCAGCCACAGGCTGTTGCTTCGCTCTTTTTTGTGTGTGTCTGTACTGCTGGTAAGTATTCACCAGTGGCAGCGCTGCAGTGTCCTCCAGAGGTCCGGTGTTGATCTGTAGTGTTGCCGACATTCTCCGGTGGCGCAGGAGCCGCAGTGCTTCTGGGAACGGCTCCTGAGTAGAAGGGTGTGTCCAGCATCAGGGCGCAGCAGTTTGACTGTTAGTCAGCAGTGAGTGAGCAGGGGAAGAGTATAATTTACATGGAAAATGATGGAAAACCAGTTGTTGCTGTTTGAAACGTCACCTGTTGCAGGCTTTTTGGAAAGTGGTACGTCAGTGGCTTTAAAAACAAAAGCGCTTCAGTCTAACATGGCCACTCCCAGAACTCTGCCCTCTGGAAGTGAAACTCTATGCTGCCTGCCATTGAAACGGGCAGGTAGTACACCTGTCTGCCAGTGTGGGAGCTGCAGAAAGGTCAGGAGGGAATCTGCGTAGCCATGAGAAGTAACTGTGCAGGGGTTCCATTGGTGCTGTCGGATGGAGAAGCAGTGGAGAAGCGTGTCTTTGATTTCTCATTTTTGTTAAGCAGTGACATATGTCTATGTACACATGTGTGTGTGGGTAAACTTGAAGAGAATTGTGAGGAAGGTAATAGGTATATAAAATGCGGAAGGATAGATGGCTAAGGGACAAACGGGAACGTGGGAGCCAAGCAGAGTCAGAAGGAGGGACCACACTGCTTGCAGACAGCCCAGGCACGTGTGGTTTGCGTGTTCATCTGTGAAGTCGGACGGGCAAAGGGTATATCACGCTTTCTCCAATGCAGTAGTAAGAGAGACTACAGTTACAGAGAACCCGCAGTTGACCTTGAGACTGCTCAGGAGTGGGGGCGGTGGAGAGGGAATTCTGGTCTCTTACTGGAGAATTCTGGTCTCTGGAATTCTTGGCGACCTTGTGACCTAGGCTTCCAGGCTGGTTGGGTTTCCTTTTTGCAGCTGTCAGACATTCTCACCTCCAGGGTGAGCACAGCTCCGGTGCTGGAAGAAAGGACCGCAGGCCTCCAGGTATGTTTGTTATTTGAGCAGGCATGGCGATTTGTTGTTCCTGTTTCCCTCGAGCCTTGCTGGACCCTCGTCTGAAATGGAGACGTCTGCTCCCCCGGGGTTGAAGGCTTGTGGTGCTCCCAACGTGGTGGAAGATGAGATCGACCAGTACCTTAGCAGGCAGGATGGAAAGATCTACCGCAGCCGTGATCCGCAGCTGTAAGTGTTTCATGGGGTTGTGTCCCACTGGGGGCCTCTGTGGGTCTTAAGATGTAGTATTTGTAACATGTCCCTTTCAGTGGGTATCTTGAAATATAAGTGTTGATTTTGACCTATTTCAGTTTAATTTCACTTTGTTATTTTGTAAGCTTTTTCTTACTGTTGGAGTCTCAGAGTAGGTTCCACGTGTACGTTGAAAGTTTTCAAGTATTGGGAAATAAGAGAATTGGAAGAAGGGAGAGGCCTTGACCAAGTCTTCAGCACTCTGTCCTGAGCAGTACTCGATTGCCGCAGGGCTGACCAGGAGCCAGCAGCTGTGTGGGGTGGAGGGTGCCTAATGCGTGCTTGACCTCAGCACTATGCCTGCAGCACATGCTTCCTGTTTTCTGACCTGAACGCCCTTTGCTCATTCTGTTTTGAGCCCTCACTTCTTGCATGGGATTATATACATGCTTACGCTATATACACTTGTTTTAGATTTTTTGCAATTCTATTTGAAGAAGCCAGTTAGAAACACCTAAGTTTATCCTCGGTGATGTGAAATGACCTGAGTGAAGGTTGGTCATCTCTGCAGAGGACTCTCTTCTAACTGCATCACTTGGTGAACATAATGGGGATTCCAAAGACTGCATTAGCAATTGGTGTCTTAGATCAAAGGGCCCCAGGTGGTGCACAGCTGCAGGTGGCATGGGGCCACTTCGTAGCCAGAGCCATTAGCCTGCATGCCTCTTACTTACATTGGCATCCTGCCAGGGCACCAGCGCCAGCTCCCCCATGAGCTGTGTCCTCAAGGCTTCCTCAGGAATCTTGTAGTGCATGCCTGTGTGCGTGTGTACACATCATGACCTGTTACCTCTAAGAGCCTGCCTAATAGGAGACATAGGCCGCCTCTGTTCTGACACGTAGAGCTCACATGCATCTCAGAGTTCTGACCCCACTTAGAAAGTGATCTGATTAACCCTGGAGGAAACCAACGCTTGGCTTTCCCACCAACCCACCACTGCCCTCAACACCTGCGCACAGTCCACTGTCATAGTGTACATGTGCACATTTCACGTTTTCTCACTAAAATGACGGAAACCCACAGAGCCAGGCATTTTTTATGCCTTCTTCCAAAATGCACAAAGTGGGTGTTTTCCAGACTTGAGCTATGTATGTATCACTCTTAAGGTGTTTGCCATATCCATGTACCAACCTTCTTGGTATTTGACATTTTTATTTCAAATGACTTTAATCTGTTCACCTTTATTTTTAGTCAGTGTCATTTTAGCAGTTGATATCCATGAACCTCACAGGTTTGATGTGTTGGTCAGGTTTTTCTAATGTACATCCAAACCATTAAATTAAATTATTAAAAAATGTTTGTACTATCTAAAGTAATCACAGAAAAAAATCCCACTGGAAGTCCATTCTTGACTGTCAGTGGGGTAAGCAATGGACCTTTCTGAACTAGGAAATGAGTAGAGATTCATTGTGCTGAAATCCATCAGCCCGCTGTCAGTCTAGGTCAAGGACCATGGTCTCCTGTGGGGCACATTTGTACTCTGGTTAATGTGTAGATGTGGCAGTCGTTGACTCCCAGGTGCCATAGAAGCCTGCCATTGGCCAAGGAGGAGGGATTGAGTTTTGGGGTCGTTTTGTGATTGGGAAAACATGAGTAGGGAAATAACATGTGTTTATTTGTAATGTATGGTGTATGTTTTGTTAAGTATGGTGTATTTTGTACTTGTGGAGTTCAGTTATTTAGTATGGTGTACGCTTTAATATAAAAGATGTTGGGTAGCAGCAACAGAAAAACAGGCCTATTAATTGCTGTGTATGTCTTTGTTGTGTGCTCCCTCCCAGATGCCGACATGGCCCTTTGGGGAAGTGTGTGCACTGCGTTCCTCTAGAGGTGAGAGTCTCTGCGGGTGGAGTAAGTCCTGGGCGGGCGTGGCAGGCTGCTTCCCAGAGCCAGCTGGAGGTCCCTCTAGGTCCCTGCACTTGGTCATAGCGATTAAAAGAGCTGTCTGTTTATTGCCCTGGCCTCATAGTCCCTCTAGTGCAGGCTGCACAAAGGACGAGCCTTTGTTTACGGGAGTGACCTTCTGGGTGGATTATGAAAGGCTGAAGCACCTGTATGGCAGTGATAAAGGGGCAGCATTAGCAGTGGGCTCCCTGGATGGTCCTTTTAAACCCTGGCACAAAGCTGGACCTGGGGGTTTTTGCTTGTCATCATTTTGATTTACTTAGTCCTGAATCTCCTGCCTCCCCTGCTGATGTGGCCTGGTGAGATTGAGAGTCACCATAATAATGCTGACTGGTGACTTCTTAATGCTGAATCTGCGGCAACGAGGCCAGCCCGGTTTTTATGAGGTTCTTGCTTTGTCCTGCGCTTTTTTCCCCTGAAAATTTCCTGGTAGTTAACTTGACTTGGAGCATTTTGTATTTAATAGAGATTCATTACACTCTTGAGAGGTCACTGGTGCACACAGACTTGGTTCTGACCTGGAATGATCTGTGAGAGCCAGGCACCCATTCTCCTCTGTAGTTCTCCCCGGGGCCTGGTGGGAGCTCGGTCGCCCTGCCCCTGTGACAGTACTGACTGTGTGTTCTGGCAGCCGTTTGATGAGGACTACCTGAACCATCTTGAGCCTCCCGTGAAGCACATGTCCTTCCACGCCTACATCCGGAAGCTGACTGGAGGGGCTGACAAGTAAGCAATCCGAGTGCAGTCAAATGGCACCAGAGGCTTCTGTGCGCAGAGCTCGTCTTGTGCATCTGGCAGATGTTGCTTGAAACCTTTGGGCCTGTAAATGAGAAAAGTAAAGGTCAGGGTCTAGGCACAGAGCAGCTGAATTCATGAATTTGCCCTGATGGTAGAAAAGAAACATGTGGCTAGAGACTCAGATGCCCTGCTGTCATCCGTGGTGCCCAGGGTGCTGGCAGATGCCAGGCCGGTGATAGGCTCTTTGAAGGCCCGTGGGGACCTCACAACCCCCCCTTGGTATGTGATTCCCTCAACTTAGTTGTACCCAAAGGTGGGTGGGATAAGGCCATTTGTGTGTCAGTGGGGTCTGAGCCCATGCTCTACTCTCTGGAGGTCATCTTGGCTCACCTGGTTCATAGCCCCCGCCAGCCCTTCGCCCTGGAGCCGTCTCTTTGTCAGCCTAACTTCACAGCCGTGGGAGCTGCAGTGAGTGGGCTCATGGTGCCTCAGCAGCGGCTGTCCCCAAGCATGCACTGTGGGCAGAGGCCACTTGGGCCGCATGCAGTGCAGCTAAGACTATGGGAGAGCTGGAAGCATTTTGGTTTCTTAGACCATGTCAGCGCATGCCTCTGCAACCCCACTTCTGTTGACTGGGCCATCGTACCATGATTTCGTGAGTCCCCGTCAGTGCAACAAGCAGGGCCAGTGGCTGAACCCAAGTCAGCAGCATTGCGTGAAAAATGTCGTGTTGGCCTGATTATAGTTTTTCTCTGACAACCCGCTGACATCCTAAAACGACTTTCTAAAAAAGTTAGACGAGGAGAAAAAAATCTCGGAGTCCGTTCTTGACTGTCAGTGGGGTAAGCTATGGACTTTTCTGGACTAGGAAATGAGTAGAGATTTATTGTGCTGAAATCCATCAGCCTGCTGTCAGTCTAGGTCAAGGACCATGACCTCCTGTGGGGCACATTTGTACTCTTGTTAACGTGTAGATGTGGCAGTCGTTGCCTCATCTGCTATGGCTCGTGCCATAGCAGCCTGCCATTGGCTGTGGAGGAGAGATTGAATTTAGGGGCTGTTTTGTGAATGGGAAACTGGCCACGGGTGAAGTCAGTTGTGTAGCTTCTCCCTGCCAAGTTCAGGGTGGGTCACAGGACTTCTTGGCAATCTCCTGGGAATAGTTTTTATCTGAGTCAGAAGCAGAGTGCTGATGTCTCTGATACGTATCCTAATCAGGTTTTTCCTGTGACTAAGAATTTTTTACAAATGCCCAAGTACTAGACCTATAATGTAAATGTTGCTGATAAATTAATGAAACTTAAAAAGAGCTCCATTTCCTCTCAGTGGCATGGATTAGATCAATAGGCACTCAGTAGAATTTTTCAAGATCTTCATGGGTGTTTGTGACAGGCAGTAAAAACTGAAACTAGATAGGAAGATAATGATGCAGTCTCCTACTGTCTGAGTGTCTGGGACAGAAGCTAGAACCCCAGCAGAGGGAGTTTGGGCACGTTTTTCCCTTCTGTGGCCTACCGCACATGTAGCTCCTTGGAGCTCTGTCCAGGAGGCATAAGGTATTGGGCGAGTTGTTTCCAGTGTGCTGCTAAACTTTGTGCCACTGTAATGCTTACCTTACACAGTTGTGTCTTCTTTATCAGGGGGAAGTTCATCGCCCTGGAGAACATTAGCTGCAAGATCAAATCTGGGTGTGAGGGGCACCTTCCTTGGCCCAGTGGCATCTGCACCAAGTGCCAGCCAAGTGCCATCACACTGAACAGACAGGTGAGACAGCCACTGCATCTGGCTTGCAGCAGGAAGCAGATGGGCTTTCAGAGCTGAGGAGTGAGAATTCCCAGAAGAGACCCCTCCTAGGAGAGAGGCGGCCACCAGCAGAGTGTCAATACGGCCAATTCTCAGGGTTTTTTGACTGACCAATTGACCCTTTCTTGGAGATCATACACCGAAGACGTCACTCGCAAGCTCTCTCCCGCTCGCGTAGCGTGGAGGGAGGCCTTCGGTGCTCTTTTCTGTGGCTTGTATGGAGGCAGAATTCTCTTGGTGACTTTAAAATGCTCAGGGTCGTAGCTTTACTTTTAAGAAGTTGTGGCTGTGGAAGCTGTTACCAGAACTGTCCTGGGCCCAGCTCAGGGCACCTGTCCAGGCGGCTTGAGGGGGAGGAAGAGCACAAGGGGCACCCCACTGGTTCCGGCCGTTGAGGCCTGCCTCCCGGGGTGAAGTCTGCGCCTCCTGCCTGTTTGGCGACCTCTTTCTTCCTTCCTTTTTCTTTCCCTCCCTTCATCCCTCTCTGTTTCTCTTTTTGGAAATGATTTTTTGCCTTAGAGATTGGATTAGGAAAACCTGCAGTTCAGTTCAGGTGAAGTCCCAGGAAGATGAATCTGAATTAATTTGTGGAGGACACCTATCCCCACCCCACGCACTCACCAGAATCTGAAATGGTCTTTGGGGCAGAACAGTTTCTTAAAGCATTGTGTGTGTGCATTTAAAGAGCTAGGTTAAGATATTTTTGAATGGTTAAATACAAAAATCATTTATTTTTGATGGTTCTCATTTAGCCCATTGTTGTTAACTCTACAGAAATACAGACACGTGGACAATATCATGTTTGAGAATCACACAGTCGCTGATCGCTTCCTTGACTTCTGGAGGAAGACGGGGAACCAGCATTTTGGGTATTTGTATGGACGGTATACAGAGCACAAAGACATTCCGCTTGGCATCAGGGCTGAAGTAGCTGCCATTTACGAGCCACCCCAGGTAGGCGTGCCCAGCTTAAACAGCCCTCGGTCTGGTTCTTTGCTTTGGAGGCTGTGTGGTGCCCTTTCCACATGGCACGTTGCTCCTTCTGCTTTATCATTTGTCTATCTATCTGAACATCTCTCTGTGCACACATGTGCACACGCACATATGGACACATGCACGCTCATGCACACACACACACACAGTATTTATTTTTCTGAATTACTGGAGAGTAAGATCATGCCCCCTAAATACATCAGTGTGTTTTTCCAAAGAATAAGGATATTCTGACTAGTACATTTATCAACTTAAGTAAATTGAACATTGATACAATGTCTCTATCTCATCTGCCATCTGTATTCTACTTTTGTCAGTTGCCCCAAAAGTCACACAGTTGCTCCCTCTCTTCTCTTACTCTGTATCTCCTCTGCGCCGCCTTCAGTCAGCTGTCCCAGGAACAAAGGAATTAGAGGGCCACAGTTAGGCATGTTATGTATTTCATGCCCCACACAGCTGTCTCAGAATGACAGCACCGGCCTCACTCCAGGATAGGACTGGAAGCAGGTCAGGGTTTCCTGGTGGGCGGGAGATAGTCCTTAGGGTACGACCGACCACTGGGACCAGCAGCGGGTACTGTGTGTGCTGAAATGGGCGTGCTTGTGCCTCTGTGACACCGAGGAAGCCGGTGGGTGGAGAATGAGGAGAGGGGTGGGTAGGACACATTACGCATTGGCGGCTGAATCTGGGTGGTAGGTATGTAGGTGTTCATGGTAAATTCTTTAAACTTTGCTATACATTTGTAATTTCTTATAAAAATGTTGACAGAACTTGGCATTTCCAAAGTCAAATCTACAAACTAGGGACCCCCTTCATTCCATTCCTCTCTCCTCTGCAGGTAGCCCCACTTTTGGTTCAGAATTCCGAGGTTTGAATGTTTTAATATAAGCACTACCCACACAACTGCCCATCCTGTCTCCCTCTGTTGTTTGTGTGTGTGCCACACTGTGTGCACTGACCCCTGTGCTGTGTCTGGGCAGCACTCCCTGGCTGACTGACTTTTTGAGTACACTCAGGTCTGAAACTGTAGGCCTGCGTGCGGCCGACACTCCCCTCCCTGGCTGTGTCACTCGCTCCTGGGTGTGGCCTGCCCCTGTAGACATGTGGGTGTTCACTGAAAGCTGCAGATGAGGCGCCTGCTGCGGCCTTTTTGGCTCCTTTGAAAGGAGACACCAGATGGCAACAGAGACCTGGTCAGAGGAGAGAGACAGGGATCTCCCTGGGGGTGCGCAGGCGCTCTACACACGGGCTGTGTCTGGGAGCCCAAGGTGCTCATGTTCAGCTCTGAGGAGGCTCTCGTCCTGAAGAGTTTCAGCAGTTCTGTGGAAAGTGCGATCGAAGGAGGAATCGGAACAGAGACCTCCGGCGTCCGGACTGTGGACTCCAGCCAAGGCCGGGCTCCATGCACCAGGGGAGCTCCGGTCTGGGCTCCTGGAGGCGGGGGCGGGGGCTTCTCGGGGCCTCCAGCCCGTGAGATGCTGGAGCTAGTCTGCCACATGTCCTGAGACAAAATCCTTGGTTTTGTTCTGAGTTTGTGATTTGACTTTTGCTCGGGGGTGTTAACAATTTCCCTGTGGCTGCTACCCAGCAATGCGAAGTTGCCTGGGAGCCAGCCAGAGCCTGAGCCCATCTACTGCCCTGAGCCGAGTGCTCCAGCTGCCAGCCACTTGGCTGCCCATCTCAGGTGTCTCTCCGTTTGCTCAGGGTTGTGTCTGTCCCCCTTACCCCATACCTCTCCCGTAGAGCTAGGCGCTAGGCACTGTTCCTGCACACATTTCCCAATTTACAGCCCTAATACTGCCTATAATCTAGTCATGCCTGTTTGGAGTAGAACTGTGTTCAAGGGAGTTTTGAAACTAGCTCCTTTCCCCAGAGAAGGAACCTTAGGAAAACGTGTGGAGAGCCTTCCTTAGCTCTGAACCACCACACACGTGTCATGGAGCTGACGGAAACTAGCCGAATATCACACCTCATTTTCCAAGTCTTGATTGGAAACGCACTGTTGTCTGAGGAGGGAAAAGCCTGGGGGGCTGGGGCTGTGTGTTGTGGGGTCTTAAGTGTTTGACAAGGGGGCCCAGTCCTCCTTGGTGCCCCTGAGCCCACCTGGAGCTGAGTAGCTGTGCTGCTGCTCTGAGACCACTTCTCACCTTCTCCCCGTAATGCCTCCACAGATTGGTACACAGAACAGCTTGGAGCTCCTCGAAGACCCCAAAGCCGAGGTAGTCGATGAGATTGCTGCCAAACTCGGCCTGAGGAAGGTACTGAGGCTTTCTGTTGGCCCTTGAGGGGGCCCTAGGCTCTGGCTGGGGACATCCGGGTGGGTGGCACGGCAAGGAAGGTACTGAGGCTTTCTGTTGGCCCTTGAGGGGGCCCTAGGCTCTGGCTGGGGACATCCGGGTGGGTGGCACGGCCAGGCTTCGTCTGGGACTGAACTCCAGCTGCTAAAGGTCAGGTGCAGGCCCAGCACGTTTTGAAGCCTCTTGTTTTTAACTGGGTGCTGGTAGCTTTTATGTTTCCTCTGATTTAAGGTAAAACAAGAACATTGCCCTAAGCATAGAAAACCAAAAAATGGTCCCCATGCAGGGGCTGGTACATTTAAATCTGCTGATCACACTTCCTGAGAACTGCCTCAAAGAGGGGAGGAGGGAAGCAGCCAGGAGCCAGACTCCTTCTTGCCCTGGAGGGGACCTCTAGGCCAGTTGTGTGTCTTTCCGCCTGCTGTGGCACACCTCTGCTACACACACACACACACACACCTTTGCTACACACACACACACCCCTGTGGTGCACCTGCGCTTCACACACACACACACACACACACACACCTGTGGCACACCTTTGCCACACACACACACACACATCCTGCCTGCTTCAGTCACTATGGGATTTCCTGTTCAGTTTAGACGTCTCAAGTGTGTAAGCCTTCCTGGTTTTACTGGATAGTTAGATGGAAGTTTCCTTTTTGAGTCTGTTGATCTAGTCTATCCTAGGTAAAATTTATCCTTGCTAAAACTTCCAGGAACTATAAAGATGGGTATTTTACAGGTCCATGTTGAACAGGCATTTTAATACATCTTAGAAGTTCACTGTTCATAGTTATGCAAATTTTATCCTATATTTCCTAATCAGTTTGGACAGTGAAAAATTACCTACAGTTAAAGAGGAAAAATTGGAAATGTGCTTCATAACTTAAGAATGTTCTAGAGCAAAGTCACTATATGATTTTAAGAAAAAAATGTCCTATTTCTGATAAGGAGTCAACATCTTGATTTAGGGTCATATTTTGATTTAAACTCTGGAAGTTTCTCTTGTTCAGAAGAGAAATCGGTGCAGGTCTTGATTGTTACAAGTGTGTAGCTCATGGTGATCATAATTGTAGTAGATCTGGAACTTACTTCAGTGTCTTTCTCCAAAACCCTGGTTCCTTGGCCCTTACTTTGCTCAGCTTGATTCTGATTCTGCTTTATTTACTGTTTGAGGTCACTTACCCTCTAAGTCTCACTTTCTCCATTGCCATCTTCCTTGGGTTCTTTGCTTCATGTGAGCAGTTTTAAAGAAAATAAGTCTCCAAGATCCCTGTGTCATCTGTAGGAGACGGATGTGAAGAGTTCTGTATTAGATGTTAGGCACCAGATCACTTCTCCAAAGGACAGAAGTGGGGTGTGTGCCCAGATTCCAGGCCTCCTCATCAACCTCCTGGCCAGGGCTGGTTTAGGAAGGCTTCATGGGCACAGGAGCGCCGGGGGCCACAGATCACACAGATGGCACTGTGGTGGCAGCAGAATGCGCAGGGAGGCCAACCTTGCCTCATGCTCTGGGTGGCGTTAGGGTGCACTGGTGACCCCTCAGACCCTTGTGCCCCGATGCTTCCTTCGGCTCCCAGTGGAATTCAAAGGGCAGCTGGGCAGAGTCTCCTTTGTACTGTTCCTTCTTACTGTAAGGGCCTTCCCTAGGGTCTGTTTTCTATCTCATAGAGAGAGCCCTAGCATCTGAACAGCTTTGTCTTTATGACATGTTTGCTGTCTGTCTTCCTCCTTGGTGACGGCTCCCTGTTTGCTGACATCCTGCTGACCTTGTCCACCAGCAGTTGGTACTGTAGGGACTGCTGATGGGTGGATGAGCCCGGCGGCAGCAGAGGAGGCTGGCCGGTGTCTGCTGAGCAGAGCCCGAGAGCCCAGGTGTGGCCTGACAGCCTTGCGGAGGAGCACCGATCTTAAGCTCCCCGGGCAGGAGCCAGGGAACATTTGTCATCTATTTGGGGAAAGACTCGGAAGATACTTTCCTTTTTCATGCAGGTTGGCTGGATATTTACAGACCTCGTCTCAGAAGACACCCGAAAGGGTACAGTCCGGTACAGTCGAAATAAGGTGAGGTGGGTGGGGTGCCTGCTGAGCCTCCAGCACTGGCTTGCGTGCACCTGAGGGTCTCTCCATAGCTCATCTTGGCTTTTAGTCCAAAATATTTTCAACACAGTGTTCCTGACAAATTAAAACTGAGTTTGTAAATTCTGTTCCTTGGAGCAAAACCCAGCTGGCTTTTACAAACCAGTGCTTTATAGAGGTGTGGCCTGCCTCGTGCTTCTGGCCTTCAGAGTCACTTGTGGTTTATATGAGGAGTCCATAGGGCTAGCATTGGAAGGGTTTGTTTCACTGCAGGTTTTGACGTGTTATGATTTAGTTCTTAGTATTTTCTAAAGAAATAGAAGCAGTTTTTGACATGATCTGTAAAACATGATACGCTGGCTCTCTTTCCTTAGGACACATATTTTCTGAGTTCAGAAGAATGCATCACTGCAGGAGACTTCCAAAATAAACACCCCAACATGTGTCGGCTGTCTCCAGATGGACACTTCGGATCCAAGTTTGTCACTGCAGTAGCTACAGGTACAAGTGGGGCCAGAGTCACAGCAGAGATGTTACTTCCTTGTTAATATGTTTTGTTTCAGGAGCTTTGTATTCTTGACTTACAGTACATTTTCTCAATGGTCCAATGAAACATAGATTCCCCTTTCTGGTTTATGGTAAAAATCCTGAGCTAACAGTGTCACCTGCAGAACTGCTGCTCACGGCCTCAAGGCGGCTCTTCTCATCTAGTCCTGGGCCCAGGGGAGCTTGATTCCAGATCCGAGCCCCGTCAGCCTTTGCTCTCCTTCGCAGTAGCCAAATGTGACTCGCTGTGCGGGAGAAAAGGGATGCGCTGTTTCTGTTGTCGGTTTTTGACATCATGAATGGGGGTGTGCTTTAAGAAACTGTTTCTGCAGCTTTTTTGGGATGATGTGTGGGTGTGTGGTGTTATTTCTGTTCCATGCTATGTACATTACATACATGATAAAAGATCATGGCCTCTAAAAAAATGGCACAACATTTTTTATAACATGGTTGAGATAGGTTGTTCTAGAAGGACAGAGGACCATACTGTTTACAAGGAATAAGAGTTTGAAACTTGGAGACCCAACTCATAAAAACATAATCTGGTCTGTTTTTTTAAAATAAACACTTAGCCCCATCCTGTGAGGACCTGGTTTCTACCCTAAGAGTCGATAATCCAGTTCATTGATGGTGACCATCCTTCCCAGTTCTGGAGAAAGAAGCATGCCCCCAATTAACAAACACTGGTTTACAGACAGCTGGAATGTACAAGTAACTGGATCTTTCATTAATCCCAGTTGAGCCTGTGGGAACCATGAAGAAAAGCATCTGTCACACCACCAGAGTTTTTAAGTTCCACTGATCGAAGATCCATTAGATTGACAGGCACCTTCTTTTTGAAACGAATGTGGTTTGAGGAGTGAAAGGCAGTGCTAGTTTGTGTCAGGGACAAGTTTACTCCTAAGTTGTTGCTACACCAGGTGTCAGGTGCCTAAGGGAGTGGATGGGGTGCTGGCCAGGAGCGGAGGAAGTGGTCTCCTGCTGCATGAGCCTGTCCAGGCGGCAGGAGAGCAACTGGGACCCAGCGCCAGGGTGGGGAGCAGAGAAAATGCACTCTGGCTTCACGCAGGATCCGGCCAAGCCAGCGAGCTCTGTGCTGAGAGAGCGGAAGGAGAGTAGCTTTCCACCACCTGCATCCCATTCCGTTGCCCCTCCACTGGGCTGACATTCTGGGGGCAGTAAGCTAGACTGGTAGCTCTCAAGCCTGTCAGACGGGACGCCACATTTTTAGAACATCTTGTGATACCCCTTTACTATCCAGAAATGAAGAATCATAGGGAATACTCTGCCAGTACCATTCTGGCAAAGCTGAGCGGTGGCCTGAGCTCAGCACGAAGGAGAAGTGGTGGTGAGGGTGCACGCGGCAGGCTGGGGTCGGCATGTCAGGCCGGTGGTGCCGTGATGGCTGGAGCTGGGGCGGGGGTGGGCCTGCGCAGGCTGGGCTGCAGACAAGTACCGGTGGCTCTGCCGCAGTGATGCGCCCTCCTGGATGCCTGGTAGCGCTGCCCGGCCCTGAGCTGGGGCAATGTCCCCTGCTTGCACAGTACTGCACTCCTGGGGAACGTCCTGTGTGTTAGAGCCGCATGCATTTGCTTTTGCTGTTCTGTGTGATTGGTTCTAATCTCCGGTTATCATAATAGGGGTTTTTGCCCCTGTGGGTATGCAGGGGATGTTCTAGGTCATGGGGTGCATGGACCAGTTCTTTTATTTGCGGGATCCCCCCACGCATGGCAGAGCGTCCGATGTCTCTGACCCCGGCCTGCTGAAGCAGACAGCCCCCGCCCCGTCACTGGGGCCGGCAGCATTACCTCGCCGGTGCCCAGAGCTGCTCCCGGGAGCACCGTGGCTTCGGGCTCCCGCAGGCTCCTATGATGGCCGAGCCTCTTGGTGACGGTTTCTGTGGGGAATTCCATGATGGACCAGAAGAACTGGTGCACCTTTAGAATTAGAATTAGTTTCTGACTTGGGGGCTGCCTGTACCTTCAGTTATTGATTCACCCCCTTGTTGGGACTTTGTGAATTATAGATTTTCTGTGGAATTTCTACATCTGAAATTGGCACTTCACCGAAAGGTTTTAATTACGAGGCAGTAGATAGTTTACAGTAAGGTCTGCAGCAGTGTCTTCTGTTTCTGTCTCCCCCGTGACATCGTGAGATGCTCAGGCTCACAATTCTGTCCCTTTCCCAGGGGGCAGCCGAGGGACAGGGGTTATCCAAATATCATAGATCTTCTAACCCCAAATGAAGTTCTTCCCCTACATCTGTGGTTCTTGACTAGGGACATGTGGTACCCGGTGGAGCTGTCTGAAACCCGTCCATTGCCCAGAGTTCCTGATAGGACAAGAGGGAGCCAGCCTAGTGGCGGTCGTTCCCTGGAGACCAGGCCACTGCATCCTGGGTGCATGGTGCCTCCGCAGCACAGTGCTCGCCTCTCCCCAAGCTGCTGGCCAAGCCATGAGCCCAGGTGCTAGGCAGCAGGCGCAGCAGGCCTGGCCCCTTGCTTCATGTCTGTGGCTCCGCACCCTCAAGAATGTCCCCAGTTTGAGGCCTTTAGAGAGAGAGAGTCAAGATTGTGTGTCATGAGCCTATGGGGCGTAGTGGGAGGAAGACATGTATCAGAGCTCAAGCTGAGACTCCTGTTAGGATGCCGGCACCTCTGTGTCTTGGTCATTGGGCATACCCGTTTATCTGGGCTGTGGAAGCTACTTTCTGAGGCATCTCAGGAGCAGCTATGTCTGTGTTCCTTCTGTCAAAGCCCCTTCCCATCCACATGTGGGTGTCCTGACAGGCTGATCTGGGAAGGGAGTGCTAGTTAACTTGTCTGGCCACCTCTGCATCCAACCAGTACTGGGTTTCTGGCAAGGTGAAATAAACCTCTCAAGATTTGGTCTCTTGCTCGATGTGGAAAAGGGGGACTTACCCTTCCTTTTAGTGAACCTATCTTTGGGGACTATCCATATGGACTAATTTTGCTTTTTTAGCAGCCTTCAGTTTTACAAATACTGGTCTCCATGTTTCTCTGGTTTTCAAATGCCAGAATTTTCTTTTCCTAATGACTTACCCCACTTTAATGATGAGTGTAAGAACAGTGCCCACAGTACTATGCCCACAGTAAAGTGATAGGCAAGTGCGCACCATGGGTGGCCCAGCCACACCCTTGCCCGACTTCCACCTTGTCTCTTCACAGACCAGAGCCCTCATTTCTGGGGCTGTCACAGCCCCGAACACACTAGAGGGTGTAGGGCCCCATGTCTGCTGCCTGATGTTAATATGGTGGTCATGGCTAGACCTGGCCGCCTCTCCCAGGTGTGTGGGCGCACACAGGGGGATGCTAGACGGGTTGTCAGGTGTGCCTTTGGAGCCCAGTGTGACTGAGCATTTGGAAGCCAGCTGCTACCAACTCTGGTGTGCAAAGTGGAGCAGGCGTCAGGCCCCTGGCTTGTCCCTTTGGAAACTGGCTTTGCCGCCATCCTCCACCTATGCTGGTAAATGTTTGAAAGCTAGACAGACAAAATTTCTGTTCCCTGATCAGTAACTTACTCTGTTTTGTCAGAAACTAAAATAGAGATGTTGAGGTTTTCTTTAAATTCTCCAAAGCCATAGAGAATAATGAACATTAGAATTGCCAGATGACTCTGATTCTGGAAGTGGCTGTGTCTGTGGTGGGGAAGTCGGCATGTAAGTGGTCTTGGCTTACCTCTTCCAGAGGCTCAGGCTGCGTCCTCACAGCCAGGCACCTGCTCGGTTTCACCTGACCACGTCACGCCCCCTCAACAGCTTTTTGTACCACTGGTCTTTCCCTACATCCCACTAGAGGTTTTTATGGAGTGGCTGAGCATGGTAAAGGGCGGAAGGCATGGAGGGCCCTGTGCCCTTTGGTTGTGTCCACACCCGATGTGGCTTTGCAGGTTTCCAAGGTGGAGGCCACCATGCATGCTACAAACACTGGCATTGTTTTTAGTGAGTGTGGTCTCTGCTGCTCTTGTCCCTCATGCCTGCACCTCTCCTTGTCTGCAGAGCTCACCCCTGTCTCCCATGTACTCAGGAAAGGAAGTTTGCTAGATGCAGGGCTCTGCCTGTCACTCACACATCTGCAGAAACCAAGAGCCCAAGTACCTGGTGATGCTCTGTGTAGTTTTGGGCGGATATTGGAGAGCGTTCAGTAATCTTTCCCAATTCTGAGATCTCTGAGGAGCTGTGGTGGCATCTCCATGCCCTGTATTCGAGGTCTTGTGCTCAAGCCACTCACAAAATTTTTATTGACTATTTTAGAAATCTTACCCAAGATCGACTCTTGAGAGTTTGTTCTATTGGTCTGAAGTGAAGAACAGCAGATGGGACCCGTGCTGAGTATGTTTGGGTGGATTCTCATTGAAGGTCTTTCTCTTGCAGGTGGTCCCGACAACCAGGTCCACTTTGAAGGGTACCAGGTGTCCAATCAGTGCATGGCCCTGGTCCGTGACGAGTGCCTACTGCCATGCAAGGATGCCCCTGAGCTCGGCTATGCCAAGGAGTCTAGCAGCGAGCAGTATGTGCCAGATGTGTTTTACAAGGTAAAGTATGGTGATGCAGACAGCTGAGTAGATGGGAAACTGTGAACACTGTCTTGGTCTTTACTGATTCGGGGTTTTCTGGCCCTATAGCCATTTGTCAGCTGTGGTTGTTTGAGCCCAGCTTGTGGGTAGAGGCATCCTATAGCTTTCTGGGATTTCTTATTAGCTACTCAGGCATCCATGATGTTAGGGCTTCTGACCAGAGGTGACAATAACATGCCCCGGGTCTGGGGTGTGTGACACTAAGTGAGCAGCAGAGCTTCAAGCTTCTAGAAAATGAGAAGACGGTATGGCCAGGGCATCGCCAGGAGTAAAGCTGTGTGGTTGGTAATCAGGCCCTCCTGATGGGACCACAGCTTAAGCTAACAGTTTAGACAAATAATTGCCCATTTCTAAATCTTTGTTTCTTGTGAAAGCTATAAAAACTATTTTTAGTGAGAAATGTCTGGTTTGAACATGTAGAGTCAGGGCGTCCCCGGAGGACGAGAGACACGGATCTCACCTCAGGCCTGAGCTGTTCCTAGTCTTAACCAAGGTGCCTACCTTCAGGGCAGATGCAGGTTTCGTCTGGTACCATTCTCCTGCCTGGAGGACCCCTTTCACATTTCTTACAGTGCAGGGCAGTTTTTGTCTGTCTGAAGCGTATTCTGTCGTCACTGTTGAAGGGCACTTTCACTGTACAGCATTCTGGGCTAGCAGGTAGGCCCAGCTGTGGTGTTGCTGATGGGGAGCCGGCTGTCGCCTTGTGTTCTTGTCTATGATGCAGCTGGCTTCCTGCTGGCTGCTCATCCCGTCCCCTCTTTATCACTGCCTTTTTGCAGTTTCATCATGATGTGCCTGGGCACTTTTCCTCGGGTAGCCTGTGCTTGGGGTTTATTGAGCTTCTTGGGTCTGTGGGTCTTTTAGCTGTTGTGTTGTTTTTTGTTTGCCATGAAAAACTGCTGCAAAGGGCGGCCGTGGAACCGCACTGCATGCTGCGCCTCAGCCCTGCAGTCTGGATCTGGGCAAGTGTGGCTGTGCTCTCTGCTCAGAGTCTGTTGGGGACGGCCCTGGTCTCCGTCAAGGCTTTGGTGTCATCTGTGGCATGAGGCGTTGGCAGCGCTCAGTCCTGGGCACCAGGGCATGATGGTGCATGGCGTGGCAGTTCGGTGCTTCTCCTTCGGGCTTGCGGGAGCAGCTGGGACAGCCACCAGCTTGGGCCTGGGGAGGGCTCCGGCTCCTGATTTGGCCACCCACCCAGATGATAAGGTCATCTGATTTTAAGTTCAGTTGATGAGTGACCCTAATTACTCACCAAACCTCCTTTGCCACATGAGGGGACATAGTCACAGTCCTGGGGAGAAGGGTGGGAAGCACTTCTAGTAGGTTTCAGAGTTCTCTGCATGGCATCCATTCTTTGATCACTCCCTCTCCCCTGGGGCTCCAGCCACACAGGCCTCAACTCTGTTGATGTTATTTCCATCTGCCTGCTTCCTGTGTTCCACTGTGGCAGTTTCTGTTGCTGTCTTCTGGCTCGTGCAGTGCCTGATCCGCAGTCTGTCCCAGCTAGGATATTTCATTGCTCCAAGTTCAGTTTGTCATTTTTGTTTCCCATGTTTCAGCTTAGCTTTTTGAACATGCGCGATACAGTTACCATGTCTGTTTTGATGTCCTTATCTACTAATTCTGTCACTGGATCCATTTCGATGAATCTTTCTTCCTGATCATGGGCTGCAGTCATGTTATTTTAAGGCCCTGTGTCCAGCGTTTGGATTGTCTGTGGGTTTGCAGCTGTTGTCTGCTTGGATCATTTGTCTTTCCTCTTCACACACTTGGTGAGTTTTTGCCATGTGCTGGTCTTGGTATGTTAAAAAGCCCTAGACCTCAGAGGACCTTTCCACCAGAGAGTACTTTGCCTTCCTCCAGCGGGGACACAGGGTGGTGGGCTGTCTGCCTCATCAAAGCAGTGCTCAGCTGGGCCAGATCTGACTTGCACTTGGGTAGGACGGTCTACTGCTGAAGCCTTTTCAGTGTCACCTCCAGATGTTCTGAGCAGTGGCTCCTGCCTGGGCAGAGTCTGAACTCTCATCCAAGACGGACAGGCGCTCAAGCAGGAGAGGGCTTCGTCTCAGTGCCATTGATCCCTCTCCCTGGCTTTTCATCGATTGCTTTTATTTATTTATTTTTAAAAAATTTTTATGAGAAGACATCTATTTATTGTTCCTGCAGAAAAGACCTGGAGTTATAAACACTAGTCTTAATGTGGGGTTAATTTTCTTTCTTCTTGTTCTTTTTTTATTTTGTTATCATTAATCTACAATTACATGAAGAACATTGTTTACTAGGCTCCCCCCTTCACCAAGTACCCCCCACAACCTCCACTACAGTCACTATCCATCAACGTAGTAAGATGTTATAGAATCACTACTTGTCTTCTCTGTGTTGCGCAGCCCTCCCCATTCCCCCCCCACACTATACATGCTAATCATAATGCCCCCTTTCTTCTTCCCCCCCCTTATCCCTCCCTCCCACCCATCCTCCCCA